CACAAAACGGCTAATTTTAGCAAAACGTGAAACAATTATCGAAAGTAAATTTTGTAAACAATGTAATAAACGCAAGTTTTTTATGCTCATATTATTTCCGTGTTCAAACACTTCATAATATACCAAATATAGCAATATGAACTTCGCAATTACACGTGACGTACTCACTTCTGTGTCTCGATCAAATCGTCCCTTTTAACACAGAAAACCCTGCTCGCCAAGCGCCAGTGATGTGATTTCCGAGTATTATCACTCAATACTAATATTACTAATACAATGCAATGCTCCTAATTGTACTAACTTACCAAATATCTCCTAATATGTCTCTGGTTAAGTCTTAGTACATGCGTTATACTCCCGCCAATACGCCAACTCTCGTTACCTGGTAACTATCTGAGATCTTATCCTGAGTTGGGTAGTTTACAATGGATCATACCGGGAACCGGGCTACGCGGTATATCTAACTATCGTACTGTCTACATAGTAATGTCACGTCCATTATACCATTTTACACAACATTACATATCTACATATCTGTAAAATAGCAAAAAAGAGGTTATATCAAAAGGAATCTCAAACAATAAATCAAGGAAAAACAGCCAGCAACGTAACAAAAAAGACGAACAAACAAACAACAGGTCCAAAACACTACACGGAAATATAAAGATTTAGCAACATAAACCCCACAACAACCGGGACAAGCACAGGTTCTCCTGAACGTAAGCAGTTTCTGCTACACTTATTGTTCCCGCCGTGTTACACATGTCAGGTACAAAATCCGTTTATACAGCGCATTCGATAATGTCATTAACGAGAAAAAGTAGAAGGGATTGTGGGTACAACAAGGGGAACATATTTGGTCATCTTAGAAAAAAGAGGGACGAAAGATACCAGAGGGACAGTCAAACTCATAGATTGGAAATAAACTGACAACGCCATGGCTAAAAATAAAAAGACAAACAGACAAATAATAGTACAGAAGACACAACATAGAAAACTAAGGACTAAGCACGAACCCCACCAAAAACTGGGGGTGATCTCAGGTGCTCCGGAAGGGTAAGCAGATCCTGCTCCACATGTGGCACCCGTCGTGATGCTTATGTTATTACAAATTCGGTAAATAGTCTAATTCAGTAGGTCACATTCGTGAAAAGGGAAGGGTATTGTAGTTACGACATAAGGAACATATCCGATATCATTTGTGAAACGGTTATTCCATAACGGTCAACCAACTCGTGATGGCGTCCGTAAAATTTACGAAGGAATGATTTCAACTTCACCATTTGGAACTCTTGGTTTAATAGCTTCCTTGTGAGCAGCAACCCTCTATCAAGGAAATCATGATAGGAAATACAAGCCCGGGAATATCGTATCAATTGGGAGATATATACTCCGTATGCAGGCGCTGCTGAAATGTTGCTACATAGAAATGGAAAGTTCACAATTGGGAAGCTGAAATCATCTTTTGTCGTAAAGTTTTGTTTTCAACCGACCCTCATTGTCAATTTCTACATGTAAGTCAAGATAGGAGGCAGACTTATATGTATCTATAGTATCCTTTATCTCTAATTCGATGGGATAGATTCGTTCAACATAGTCACCAAATTTTGTATTATTTAGTGAGAGAACATCATCTATATAGCGGAACGTAAAGTTAAAGGATATTGCTAACTTCTTATCTTTCTTCCTAAGAAGTTCCTGTATGAAGTCAGCCGCCTCATAATAATAAAGATACGTTCAGCCAAACCAAGAAGGCACCCGTCAAACGTTCAAAAAACAATTTAGAACCATTGGTGTGTCCTTGTTAGCGACAACCCTCTATCCAGATCTCCAATTTGTCTATGTTAGGTGCCGAATTGTCTAGGTGCCTAGTTATGGTCCTTGCACTTTGAAAATTCCCTCAAAAAATTAGTTTTTCCACACTTTTTGTTCGTCATGTTTGAAGATACTGACTTGATATTTGTGATATAGTTTACACCATGACAAGTTATAGATCAAGTTAGCATTTTGATCCAGTACAATGAACTCTTAACCGGTAGGGGACTATGTATTGCCATGCAATACTCTCAGAATGCTTGTTTAAAACATATTAGTGCATTAATATACTCGTGCTATAATATGTTCTTTGGAAATGCAATGTAGCATTACCATTTTAATGCCATAATAAAAGAAAAATGTCATAATATCTTGATACTGTAAGGTTTTTCTTGAAAAGTAGTGCAGAAATTATTGCGTGCATTTATTATTGCCATTTTTGAAGAATTATTGCAAATTTAGGAAAAGCTACATACAGATATGTATTTGATATCAGAATGCGAGCTCTTATTATTGCGATACTCAAGTAGTCATGTTATTCGCCTTAATAAAAACCTTGCAATAATTTCTGAATCTACAGTATGTTTGATTATAATCAATCTGAATTTTAAGATCACAAAACCTGTAGGTAACTGCCTTTACAGCACATTTGCTCTTTGATTAGCTATTGCCATTACTTGGTGTCCATCGTTGTCGTCCTCTGTTGTGGTAAACTTTTTAAAAGATCTTCTCTGAAACTACTGAACCAATTTCAACCAAACTTGGAGTGAATGATCCTTATGATATCCAGAATAAAGTTTGTGTTTTTTTATTCCAGTCAGTCGACAACCATGGCCTTCATGGCATCAAATAAAACATAGGAGTAAAATGCAGTTTTTGGCTTATATCTCAAAAACTCAAACAGGTCAATACCTAGTTGCTGTGAAATTTTCACGCGAATCAGACAACCCATTTAGGAGTTATTGCCCCTGAAACAATATTTTTTCTGAAATTTCTCAGTTTTTGATTATTATCTTGAAAACTATTATAGATAAAGAGAAATGATAGATAGAGAGAACCTTCAAATGGCATGTTTAAACACTCATTAATATACATCTAACAGCATAATAATCATTGATGCAAGATGTACACAACAAATTACAGGTGAGCGATTCAGGCTCTTATGAGCTTTTTGTTTTAAGTTCACTAAGTCAAAGGTTAAACTGCAGCTTTAACTGTAAATTGGGGATATTTTTAGATAACAAATTTAAATCATACATTAAAACCTGTGTGGATAAGACTTCTCTGGTGTGAGGAAGATTCCTACTTTTGCCAGTAAATTTGTTAGGGAAATAAATTTTATCATCCTTATATTAATTGGCTTGTTGATTAAATACCACTTTACAATGCCTTCTCTACTGTTTGAACTCCTTCTGACCTTTAAGTTATCAGTCAGAGCAGATTATTTATTTTTTGCCTAAAACTGTTTGTCTAGTCTTTTCAGTAGTATATTTTTCAGACCTCTAAGTATATACTGGTATGTGGGAAGTTATACCCAATATATTTTTCATTAGATTCCAACTTATTAATGTATTAATTTAAGTATAAATTTGTTTATTGTAAATTTTACCTTTTAAAGAGCATAGACTTTAGGTAATTATTATTTAACGATTGCTGCAACTATTAAGCTTTTTCTATTAACAATACTTAGGACAAACATCACCACCACAGCCAGCCTTAGTAACAACTAAAACCACAGTAATAAGAGGTGAAGAATTTGAAATCCAGTGCAGGATTTATATTGACAGAAGAGCTGCAGTGTTTATGAGCTGGTCATACTCATCTAACGGGGTAAGGAAATAACCAATTGGTCATACTCATCAAATGATATACAGAAATAACTGCTGCACCTTTTTATCTTATAACAGTTCATTATAGAGGTTTTGAAACTTTCCTGGATTTTAATAAAAAAAAAAAGGGTATCAAGTTCCTGTCATGATTGTGGCTAGGGCTACCTTTTAGTTTTCTCTTTTGAATTATTTTACTTTTGTTTTTCGGGGCCTTTTATAGCTGACTATAAGGTATGGGTTTTGCTCATTGTTGAAGGCTGTACAGTGACCTATAGTTGTTAATTTCTGTCATTTGGTTTCTTGTGGAGAGTTGTCTCATTGGCAATCATACCACATCTTCTACATTTTGGTTTGTTTGTCCACCTGTAGATAATTCCTTCTTTACTTGCCCATCTTGTTGGTGATGGTTTCTTACATTCAATGATGTGTTGAGAAATATTTTACTTCTCACTGTTATCATAAAGTTTGACATTTTTAGTAAGACACATATAGTTTAACACATTTCTGTGGCAATTATACTTCCCTGACCTATTTTAAGCTTGAGTTACTTTGGTAAAGTTCTTTATTTCCATCTCTGGCAATTCCATTTCAAACATACAACTTGGTTGCCATGACCTACTTTTTATGCAAGAGTATTTTAATATTTCATATGTAAAAGCTATTATTGACATCCAATCCAGTAAATACATATATAACACAGATCTTGGACATGTAGTTCATCATAATCTACATCTTATTATTACCAGACCTTGGGTAAATCAGCATTAGGTTTGGCTGGTTTTTATTTTCATAAAGTTTTTTAGATAAGTAGTTTTTATTCTTCCAAACAAACCTCAAGAATAAGACATTGGAAGATTTTTTTGTAAAACCCTAACAAATCATAATTTTACTAATCCCTATCCTATTTGATAAAATTATTTCATTTTTGTCTCGAGTATATTGACAAACTATTAATTTGATAAAAACTCATTCCGAGGATAACAAGAGTAGCTAATATTTATTTAAAAGTATTATAATTTGAGTTTTGTTACAAGGTTGTAGGTATTAAGAATCCAGTGATTGTCAGGAAAAATGGATTGTTGAATACAGAAGTTACGAGTATATATTTCCCTCTTATTTGTGTTTGTTTCATTTATCACTAGCATGTCCTGCATAGTTTCCATTTGGAAATAAAAGTTTCACCTGTTTAATGAAACGAATTTTGATTCTCCTTCATTCCAGTTTGTATAAGGTTTACCAGTGATATGTTGAGTTACCCCCCTTTCATATAATTCTGAAGCATGAGTTATCTCCCTTTTCCACAGGTGTTGGTGCATGCTACATTAAACATTTTACTGATGTATAAATTTCTTGTAGAACTCCAGTAATTCTATTGAATTAGAGGTATGTACAACTGCTTGATTGGATGAACACCATTTTATTTTTTCTCTTCTGCTTATATCAATTGTAGAAGGGAAATTGTGTTTGTTTAGTTTGCTTTTACTCTCTTCATTGTTTTGTTTTACACTTTAGGTGCCCTAGATTATCTGTAACTCAAAAGTATTTTGATAATTCTTTTGATTTTTTGGATAAAACATATTATTGTTAATTTATGTTGCAACTTTATTGATAATTTGCTATCCAAATGTTTTTGTTTTGTGACCACTTGTTTCTTTAACAATTTATCTGTACAATTAATTTTGTCTGCTGTTTCTATTTAGACTGTTTGCTACAGAAAGTCAAAATAACATCATTTTTCAGAACATACCAAAAAAAAACCATCAAAATTATGTTAAATATAAAGATAGGTATATGTATTAAGATTATTTTTGGCAGGAAAATCTCTTTTGATTTCTTATTCGAAATGTTAGGACATAATTTCAATCTAAATGTAAGAAATAACAAGAATGCCAAAATACTTTTCAAAATGTGTTTCAAACTTTACTCTTAAATTGTAATAAAAAGAAATTAAGAAATTGCAGGGCATTTTTTTAAGGGAAAATGCCTGAGGAAATACACAATGTTACAAAATTAATGCTTTTCATCACATTTTAAGAAATCTCACAATTAAATGTAAACTAAAATGTCTGTCTCATCTGTTTTTTCTAACAAGGTGCCACCTAACAAAGGACATAGTATTGGCAACTAAAACAATGAAATTAATTGCAGCCTTAATTACATATTTACAAAGGCTGGAAATCATGTTACAGCCCTCAGATGATTACAAGACATAAGTCTTGCATATTTACGATGAATCTTCAAACTTCTTCCATTTCAGGAAAAACTGCGAATTAGTCTCATTTTGAGATTTCTCAATAAATTTTAAGATAAAAGCAACAGCCTTACCTACCTGTAAAAAGATGTTGGTTTGAGTGAAATATCTTTCCAGACAAGATTTTGCTCATATTTAATTTTGTCCAAAAACTAAATAAAAAATCTATTTTTGATCAAATACATCAACTATCATACTTGGATGATGTCAAAGAGACTTATTTTTACTACAGTGTAAACACTATATCATGGTATTAAATTTTTTAAAAGAAATGAAAAATTTAACATTATGCAATTTCAGGTGCCATATAATAGTTCATTCAAGCTTCCTCCTTTTCTATCTTTTGTTGAGTTTGAAACCCCATGAAATGATCAGGTTTCCATCCAACTGAAAAAAAAAGAAATTAGGACCAAAAGTACTTTCACATTATAAATGGGACTTGAAACATGTCACAGGTGTCAAAAAATGTATTGAAAACAGTTTTCAAACAGTCAAGAAGGTTTGTATTCTGAGTACTGATTTGATTTTGATTTTTGGTGTTTTAACGCCATTTTTAAGCACCACTTTTGGGCTATTTCGTGGCGGCCAGTTTTTATAGGTGGAGGAAGCCGGAGTGCCCGGAGAAAACCACCGACCTTTGATAGGAAAACTGACAATCCTAGTCAATTAAGATTGTAGTCGAGTGCACCCACACGAGCGGGGTTCGAACTCACAACCTCAGTGTTTACTGGCTAGTGATTACAGTAGTAACTACTTAGACCACTCGGCCACTGAGGCCCCTTTTGAGTACTGTAAACGATACATCAGGTATATAAAGTTATAAATATATATTTGAGTAGACATTTTCCAAGAATACCCTTATACATACAAATACTGTTGCATTGATATTATCTCCCCTGTTTCTAGCTTGAAGGACCAGTGGATCGTGGGGTAAGAGTCACTGCATGTTGTTCTTATCATTGCACTAACAACACATCAAGCATGTCAGACTAAAGTTTGCCAAGTTATAATGGCATGACATTTTTTTTAACTTCTATTTCATTTTTAGTTCCTGCTTGATTACAAATCCAAATACAATGTAGGTAGTAAGTTGCTAAAAGAAAGAGTATAATTGTAGAACTGTAAAGTTATCAAACATTTGATTTTTTTATAAATCTATTGGTAACCATGGAGATTTAAACAATCATCCTTCTAAGACTGAATGTGTGTGTAATAGTTTAGTCATTAACTAATTACCTGAATAGCATTTTTATTGTAAGTTCAGATATTTATACCCCCGCTTTAAAAAAGTGGGGGTATACTGTTTTACCTCTGTCTGTCGGATGAATATTTGTTCGTCGCATCTTTCTCACTCTGGAACTACATCATAAGGATTTCCTAAATTTGGTTTCAGGGTTTATATAAGTCAGCTATACCGCGTGATGCGTTTTCAGATTCATCACTCAACAACTTCCTGTTTACCGAACAGTTACATATTTTTACACTATTAAATTTATCCAGTTGCGGCGGGGGTATCATCAGTGAGCAGTAGCTCGCAGTTTCACTTGTTTTGTGTGCTTTTGTTACAGCAATTGTTGAACCATGGACAAAAATGCTAGATTAATTATTAAATACAAATAATGATTTCAAAATTTCAAAATTTCAAAATTTTTGCAAAACATATTCAGTTGCAATTTTAGCAATAATGAAAAGAACAAACATTTCTGAACTTACAGTTACTTGGGTGGGCCCCAACTTGTTAACCATCGACTTAAGATGCAATAGATTTATTTCCTGATAAAATTTAGTGGTTTGTTTAAAGCACAGTTAGGATAAACAGTATTTTTTACACAAAGTTTTACTCTGCATCAATTGATAAGAAATCTTTATATACAATTGACATCTAGTTATGCCAGCCTACTGTTTTGACCCAAAATTTACGGCTCACTTGACATTGAAATGTGAAAGTGTGAGCGGAGCATAGTGACCTATGAATATATTTTTGTTTATTTTATTTCAAATTCTGAGTAAAGAGCAATTTATTGTAGAAATATGTATATATATGATAAAAGAATTGGTTTACTGTCAGTGTGATAGAAACAGAATAGTAATTGGAAATGATTGTTAACAACAAGAGTAATTGTAACATTTTATTTACAAATAGTTGTTTAATCAGTGTTAAGTTTCAGTAGTCTTGATCATCAGTAACAAATGTCACCATTATATTATTATTTAACCATCAATTGAGACATAATTTACCCTCGTCATCATCATTTCACACTTAACATTCATAACATGTCATGTATAAGGCATGCTTCATCAATTAAACTAGGAGTATGCTTAGTATAGAGATATAACTTGTATCTCACATTAGTAATTATTTGCTGTATTTATGATTAGATAAATTATTTGTTAGTAATTTTACAGAATTTGTAAAATAGCAAATTTTCAGGTTTTTCACAAGAGCTGATCACAATGTAGTTTATTTGAAGGCCCATTGTCACTATCAGAGTTTTCTTTCACCAATATTGAATTTTTGAAGGATTTTTATTTATATAACGATAGTTAAAGAAAGCGTTTAGCAGAAACTTTGACAGACTTTGATAGAATAGAATCTAATCCTATTTTTCTTTAACTTTGATGGACATAGTGCAGTTAACAAATGATGCAATTTTTGGTTAAAATAAAAGCACATGGCAAAATTGGCAAAATTGGCGAAAAAGTATGATGAGCTTCAGTATATATATGTCATGCATTTATGAAAACCAATTCTGTAATGCTTAAATATTTAGACAGTGGAAATATCTAGTTTACAACTAAACTCTGCCTAATGAAAAGCTTTGTTTGTCTACAATCAATACAACATGCAGTAGTAATCATCTATTTTCTACTTATTTTTAGAGCTGCACTGCATCGATATAAATCAATCTTACCATTTATGCTGCTCATAAGTCAATTATATAAATAAAGTCTATAGTTAATTATAATTTGATTTTTTCAGAAATATGAGGAGAAAAAAACTTTAGAATTTGTAGTTTAACTAGTTAATTATATAACATAGGGAGATATGTGGCGTCATTGCCAACAAGACAACTTTCTTCTAAAGTCTTAAGTGACCTGGATTCAGGCAATATATGAGTTCTGTGTAGAAAAAAATATTTATTTCCGAATTTTACTGCAAACCTTGTATATATTGAATAATGTCTGTTGCAAGATACTAAAATCCGTGGTTGCCAAAAATTTATCTAATGTTTATAGGTAAAGATCATTAACATTGAATATGCAATACTAATGCCTTCATTAAACCGATGTTAAAAAGAAAAAGCAAGGTTTGTGTCAATGAGACAGCAACTCAACAACACAAGCAAACTAGAGGTTGGAATATTTTTTCAATAACAGACAAATGTCTATTCCTTTTATTTAGATTCTAGCTGTTATTAATGAATTAAACAGATTACCCCCCAAAAAGTCACTCCCATCATTCATCACCTTCCTGTTTATTTATACTGAATACTTTAGATCTCAGGCTACTTGGCGATTAGGGGGAAGAACTTGCTTTCACATCCGTATTACTTATAGCAGGGGTATCATCTGTGAGCTAACTACATGTACATCTTGTTTGATTGGTGACGAGACATTTTTCTGAAATAGGTTATCAGTAAAACAGTTGGAACTTAGTTGTTTCACTTATTTTACATTGAGTTTTACTTATTTTCCAGTTATTTGACTTATTGATAAACTTTCATCAAGTTCAGTTGATTATATTCTTTATGTATAACACAAGGATATTGCTGATTAACTCGGTCAGAAATTAGAGAAACCACAAAAAAAGACAGAAAGTCTGCCGATTAATAGTTAGTAAAAACAACCTGAAATTGTGTACTCTCAAATGTTTTTGTAGTCAACTATTTAATGAAAGCACGGATAATCTTTGATAATCATGTCTCACAGATTTCTCACTTTTATCTTCTAATAAAACTGTTATGTAATTGTATGTAACTGTATTTTTTATAAGGTGTGTGTTTTATCGTGTTTATGTAGAGTGATCAAATGATATTGAAATTACAAAAAGATATTTTGACATCATCGCTATCTTGGGATTTTGCCAGTCCTTCAATAAAATTAGCAAAATCATTTTAAACATGTAATGGATTATACGAAAAATACTTAATATTCTTTTATTAATTGGAAACCTCCATCAAGCTGGCCATTAGCATTTCCCTTAAGACATGACCAATTTTTTATCAGTAGACAATACATACAATAGGACTTTTATAAACTGCATTCATGATAAACTACTAATGTTGATGTAAAATTTGATAAGAAAGATTCAAAATATTCACATTAATCAAGGGAGGAAACCAGGTCTGTATAATTAGTAGTTGGGGGTTTGTTAATGACCGATTTCCTGTTCAGATAACTTTCCCTTCCCATTAAGATGTTTGAAGTTTGTTACATGATCTCAATTTTATAGTTGACACTAGTTTAGGCCAAGCAAAACAGTCGTCTTACTACTTTGTTATTAATCAAAGTTAAGCTAAAGATACAAAGTTATTACATACAATTACTATAAGGGGCAACCCTTATTCTTATTTACAACAAATCTGAGAGGATAGTCCAAAACATTCCAGAGAATAACAACATATTTAAGTCTGGTTTAAATTTTTAATTGTTTCCAGTCCATTCTTCTTCAGGGCTAACATGTTTGCCTTGTGTGCCTTGGTACTGTTGATTTTGAGATTCAGACATCTTTTAGAGAGTTCTTTATTTCTACATACTGTGGATTCATTATAATTTAGGGATACCAGTGGGTACAGGAGAACCAGGATTTTAAAAGTTCAGCAAAGTACAAATTGTCTATGGCTTGTATATATAAAAATAAGAAGATGTGGTATGATTGCCAATGAGACAACTCTCCACAAGAAACCAAATGACACAGAAATTAACAACTATAGGCCTTCAACAATGAGCAAAGCCCTTACAGACCTTGGCAAATGCCATGAAAGCAGATATCCACAAAATATAATTTTTTCCCATGAAAATTGGTACCTACGGTAATAACTGAATCCACAGTTGTTTGAATCTCACAATTTGTAGGAACTGCAAAGCTGTTTGGAAGTTCTAAATTTCATTTTTATTCTCCTTGAATCTGACCTTCCTTTCAAATCAAATTTATTTGTGAGACTTTCTCTTCAAAGCAAACAAAGTGAAAATTAAAAACCAATTGTTCAGAGAACAATTGAAGGTCTTTCCACCAGTAAGGATCTATTTTGATATGTAAATATTTAAATTTGGTTTTGAATGTCAATTTCAGCGTCAAATGACAGCTTATTGAACGCTAATTCCAAAAATATATGGTTTCTATACAAAAAAATATAAATAAGGGAGATAATGTTTTACTTCCGGTTTAAAAGATGTTACTTTCGGTATTGTTTGATAGTTTAGTTGACACTGATTCCAAAAATATATGGTTCTATATACTTTTACATTAATTTAGTACAAAAAATAGCTACTTCCGGTTTACAAAAGGTCACTTCCAGTTGGCTTTTTCAAGGTCACATTGCTTGCAACCTAATGCAAAAAGTCCCATGTCTTTATCATGTATACATATGAGGTAAAAGCAAAGGTCAAAATCTAGAACGTTAAATTTAACTATGACCTTGAGCTCAATTTCAAGGTAATAAACCAAGGAACTCAAATCAAAAGACTCTAGGTCTTAATTATATATGATAAATGAGTTATATCACCATACGTGTAATTTTAGATATACTAGAGGAGAAAACTCCCATTAAATGTCTCAGTATCCTTTCAACTGAAATTTACATGTTACGACATGTCACAACTAACAATTCTGTAAAAATATTTTGTCGATACCTTATAAGATTTCTGAAAATTAGTGATAAAAAGCTAAAATCAAAATTTTGAACATGACCTTGACCTTTGACCCTGACCTCATTTTCATTTTTTTGGACCAAGGACCTCAAATCAAAAGACCCTAGGCCTCTATCACTTATGCTTTTCCAGTAAAAAATACATTTCACTTATATCAAATACAAAAGGGGAAATAACTCTCATATGGAATCTCTATACGGCTTCGGTCAAAATAAAACAGAACACCCTTAGGATACGACGAGCAATTTGGAAAAATAAATTTGTTGTTTTCTTATACGGTTGCAAAGCCTTAGAGATAACAAGAAAAACAGTGTTCGGGGAGATAACTCTTATATGGGAAAGTATTCGGTTAAGCAGTGTCAGTTTCAAAAGCGTATAAACTGTTCGATATCATATTCCAAATATCTAAGCGACATCTTGCGAAACAAAAAAACAGCGAAGGAAAAAAATTAGGCGGAAGAAAAAAAATAAAAAAAATAATAATAATCAGAAGAAAACCAATAGGTCTTTCCACGGAAAAGTGGAAAGACCTAATAAACCACTCACCAAAATTGCCCCTTTTTGGTATAAATCTCTGCTTATTCATCAGATCTGATCATGATAATGATTTCAAAACAAGACCTTTTCCTGACAAATCTAAAATTAGTTTTGAAGTATAATAAATGTTTGATTCCATATTTCAGAGATCAGATCGAGTACATTATACAGATCCACTGCGAGAAGTTTCCTCAGGAACTTATGACTTTGATGTTCTGTACAGCAACCTGACTGTGATAAATGCTAAAAAGAGTGACGAAGGAGTATATATGTGTAAAGTGATGACACATGACGGAAAATCAAATAATGTTAGCACTGTTATAAATGTAATTGGTAGGTGTTTTACTTTTTCATTAAATTCAACTAAATTTTCTTATCTCATTTTTCAAATTTTCTTGAAATATTTTGTGTTGAAATTAGAATACCGTTTTTAGTCGTGTATAATACACACTTTTTTACACAAAAATGAAGTTGGTAGAAGAGGTGGATATTATACAGAATTATAGATGGTTTTTTTAATTTTTTTTTAAATTTTTTTTTTTTTCTTTGTTATTGTATATATTCAAGATGTTTTTTATTTTATTTATTTACTTGTAATTTTTTTAATGACGTTTTTTCCTTCATTATTGAATATTCAAAGTACTGGTGTGACATCCTGCATAGATGTTCTTAGTATGAAATTAAGGATTAAGTATGGGTGTGTAGCAATTGAATATTCAAGTCAACTTTTGACAGGTGTTCAATATAATAACCTCGTGCAGTGCTCTAAATCAACATCATCAATGAAAAGAAAATATCAGATTAAAGAGTTATTAAATTTGAATAACTGCTAATCAATTTAGCATCTGGCACAAATACAAAATTTCAATCCTGGTATCTATGATGAGTTTTTTTACAACCACTGGGTCGATGCCACTGCTGGTGGAGTTTTTATTCCCCGAGGGTATCACCAGCCCAGTAGTTAGCACTTCTGTGTTGACATGAATTATCATTGATATGGTCATAATTATAAATTAATTGTTTTTAAAACTTTAAGTTTTGAAATACTAAGGCTTTTCTACCTCAGGAATAGATTACCTTAGTTGTATTTGGCAAAACTTATAGGAATTTTTGGTCCTCAATACTCTTCAACTGCATACTTTATTTGGCCTTTTTAACCTTTTTCGATTCGAGCGTCACTGGTGAGTCTTTTGTAGACGAAACGCGCGTCTGGCGCAAATGCAAAATTTCAATCCTGGTGTGTTTATTTAGAAAATATTTGAGGTCTAATTTCTGTTGTTCCCTAACATTCCAATTATTTCTTTTATAATATTGAACAGTGCATCAGCTTGGACAAGCTCAGACAAACTTTGGTTTCAACAGGGATATTTGATTAATAACTTTACTTTTATAGAATTAATAACTGTTAATTACATGATGAAAGCTCTACTATTTTATTGTTAATGACTATGAAATTATTTGATTAAACAATTTGATTGAACTATCAATCTTTTATCTATCAATAGACTTAAATGAAGATTAAATACATTATTTAATTGTTCCCTATTTAAGGATTTTTGCAGTGAACTAGACTTTTAAAATTTTTTTTTTACTTTTTATTTTTGAAATTGTGTATTATACACAACTGTGACTATACATGGCTAAATACGATATATTGATTTATCCATCAAAATGCTGCGTTATTGACTGCCTGCCTGTAAAAACTCAATCAAAGATACCATGCTTTTAAATTATATACATTAGAAACACATGACAAGCAGCCAATGTTCCATGGCATATTTACATGAAAAATATGTTAAAGCTTTTAAACCATGAAAATTTACTTTATCTTATTGTCAAAGAGGGAGACTTATTTAAATATTGTGAAGAATTTTGAAAACACCTCACACTACTGTAAATTCAGAAATTATTGTGTGCATTTATTGTTGCGAATTTTGAAGAATGGTACTAAAATGTGAGATAAAGTATTGTGATTCCAGGAAAATCTGCATACAGTTATATGGATCTGATATCTGAATGCAAGTTTTTATACGACTGCAAAAAAATTTGCGGTCGTATATTGGTATCATGTCGTCGTCAGCGTCGTCCGAAGACATTTGGTTTCCGGACATTTACTTTAGTAAATGTAAATAGAAATCTATGAAATTTAAACACAAGGTTTATAACCATAAAAGGAAGGTTGGGATTGATTTTGGGGGTTATAGTCCTAACAGTTTATGAATAAGGGGCCAAAAAGGGGCCCAAATAAGCATTTTCCAGACAATAACTTGTGGAACGGTGTATGGATCTCTCTGAAATTATACCACAAGTTTCCATACCACAAAGGGATTGTTAGGATTGGCTTTAGAGGGTTATGGCTCAAACCGTTTAGGAATTAGCAGCAAAAAAGGTGGAAAAACCAGGGTTTCCTGGGAATGGACAATTAAAAATAAGTACAATGTTATGTTTGGATTACCTCCCTTACACTGCTTTTCAATTATGTATAAAGAAATGTTGTATTATCTCGAGGTGACCATATCTTGAGGGAAAGAATTTTTTTTATGCGCCCGCCATAGCGGAGGGGGCATTAAGTTTTACCTTTGTCCATCTGTACGTCCGTCTGTCCGTCCGTCTGTACGTTCTTCTGTCCGTCCGACCGTCAATACGTCCCAAAGTTGGTTTCCTTTCTCTAACTTTAGTTTGCCTCAACCAAATGTTATGAAACGTATACACAATGCTTATTACCACTAAATACAGATCAAGTTTGAATTTTGGTGGCGTCACTTTTACCGTTCTAGAGTAATGCTCCTTTACAAATGGAAAAATTGCTAAATTTTTCATTTCCGTTCTCTAACTTAAGTTTGCCTCTACCAAATGTTATGAAACTTATACACAATGCTTATTACCACAATATACAGATCAAGTTGAATTTTGGTGCTGTCACTTTTACTGTTCTAGAGTTATGCCCTTTACAAATGGAAAAATTGTTAAATTTTTCTTTTTTTTATTTCTAAATATCAAGTCATTTTTAAAATTGGAGTTATCTTCCTTTGTCAATGATTATAGTTGAATCAACTACAATCAATGCTTTATACAATGCAATGTTTAATTTTGCCTTCCACTGATAAAACACAGATCAAGTTGAATTTGGGTAGTGTCACGTTAACCATTATTGAGTTATGCCCCTTTATAAATCGAAAGGTTGCAAAATTTTTAGTTTCCATTCTGTAACTTAAGTTTGCCCCAACCAAACATTATGAAACCTATACACAATATTGATTACCTCAAAACTAAGATAATGTACAATTTTTTTGTTTCCGTTCTCTAACTTTAGTTTGCCTCAACCAAATGTTATGAAACTAATACACAATGCTTATTACTACATAATACAGATTAAGTACGAAATTTGGTGGCGTCCCTTTATAAACATAAAAATTGCTGAATTTTTCGTTTCCGTTCTCTTACTTTAGTTTGTCTCAACCAAATGTTATAAAACTTCTAGAGTTATGCGTGTTTACAAATAGAAAAATTGCTGAATTTTTAGTTTCTGTTCTCTACTTAAGTTAGCCTCAACCAAATGTTATGAGACTTACACACAATGCTTATTACCACAAAACTCAGATCAAGTTCAAACTTGGGTAGTGTCACTTTTACTGTTCTTCAGTTATGTCCCTTTATAACTATATGATATGCAAGCAGGGGCATCACATGTGTCCACAGTCCACAATCCACATTTATTTTGGAAAAATATAATTTTTTCTCATTTCAGAATATTTTTTTTTTTGGGGGGGGGGATGTCAATTCGCAACAGCATAGTGTATTGCACAAAAGCAAAAAATTGAATATAAAATCAAATCATATAACCAATTCTAAGTTCTTTGACTACAGTTATTCTGTGTCAAAAACCTATTATGTGTCAAATATTTAATTACAATCCAATTTCAGACCTGTATCAAGCGCGAATATTGTGTCCATTTTTGCCCCAACTGTTCAGGGTTGGATCTCTGTGGTCGTATCCAGCTGCGCTCGGCAATTTTGCGAAGCAATTTGATATTATTGCGATACTTATTCAGTCGCATAAATAAAAACTTTGCAATAATTTCTGAATTTACAGTATTAAGAATTAGTGCTCATAAATTAGCTATTCAGTAGAATCTTTATAAAAGATTCACAAGGATAAAAATTCAATTAAAGATGAAATTGGTTTTCTTTGTGATGTCCAGTATTCAAACAACAACGACAAGTTATGTTACACTCTGCTGTAGAAATATGTATTAATTTCAAACATATAGATACAGAAAATGTTCTTTTTCTATTTGAAATTTTAGGTATCATGCTTTGGCTTTTTTTTTCTAATGTTATACCTTTTCACCACTTTCTCCTGAATTATTTTACATTTTGTTAACCAGGAGCCTTTTATAGCTTACTTAACGGTATGGGTTTTGTTCATTGTTGAAAGCTGTACAGTAGCCTTAGTTTATTTCCTTGTCCAATGGTATGTGGTTATATTTTTTTCATTGGCAACCATACTGCATCTCCTGAATTTTACATGGCAAGTAGATATAAAATTACAGGTCATTCTATTGCCTTCAATAATGAGCAAAACCTGTACTCTATAGTAAGCTATAAAAGGCCACAATATGACAAAATGTGAAATTATTCAAAAGAGAAAACCAATGGCCTGATTTATTCTACAACAATGTACCAAAAACAAATTTGGCAGACAAAAACCGAAGACAACCACTGGGTTGCATCTTCCTGGTATGGGACAGGCACATAAAGAATGTGACGGGGTTAAAAGTGTTTGCAAGATCTCAACCTTCCATAGCCTAAGATAGTGGTGTAACAACACAACATATTAAAGAACAAGCTGTAAAATAAATCGGAAAGGTCTTGACTCGTTAGATCAGTACTCAGCACTAAAACAAATACTGTAAATTCAGAAATTATTGCATGCATTTATTATTGTGATTTTTGAAGACTGAACAAAAATGAGAGATTAATTTTTCTATTTCTGGAAAAGCTTCCTACAGATATATGTATTAGATATCAGGATGTGAGTTATTATTGTGATACTCACTCAGTCGCATTATTCACATTAATAAAAATCTCACAATAATTTCTGAATTTACAGTAACAAAAGGCAAAGTACTGATCTAATAGAACTCACAGTTACTGAAAGCTGGTTCAGCCCAATTTCAAATAATAAATAAACCATGTTTTCCAAGACTAAAATGTCAATCAATACACCTCCAACAGATATAGTGTAACATCTTCATGACATAAGCATTCTGGGAAACAGCAGGATCATGTGCAATGCCAAAATATAAATATCAACAGAATGTAGGACCATAATTGTTTATACCTTGATAATTTAATTTTGGATGTAACACATCTTCTGACGTCATAGAATAATTTTGTCATGTGACCGTGACATCATGATTTACTCTTTTTTAGAATTCACGGGTTATTCAGTGTGCACCACATTTTTGATGTTATTTCTTCATAGACAGAAAAAATATTACAGTCATTCCTTAAATAACAATAACACATGTTTAGTTATGTATGAAACTATCAAAAATGAAATAACTGTTAGTACAGATAAAGACAACATTCAAGTGTCCTACTACAATTGTAAATTGATAACTTTTAGAAATAAGTTTTTTCAAAGGAACAGTAAGTTGATATTGTAATGTTCCGGGGTTTTGGAGTCAGGATTCCCATCGTTACTTATGTAGGCCTCTGGTGAAGGAATTAATAATAAAAATCAAAATGGAAGTTCATAAATTGTATTATTTTCTTCTTCAGTAATAATTGCAATACAACAAATACAGTGGTTCATGAAATATAAAACATGAATTAAAATGCATTAATATATAATAAGTAATACAGGAAGGTGTATTACTTGCAACAAGTTTAATAAAACAATCCTTCTAGCGCTCAATACAAGAAAATCTACTTGGGACACTGCATTCTAATACTCTGCATACTTGGTGCAGGAAAATCTACTTAGGACACTGCATTCTAATACTCAGCATACTTGATGCAGGAAAATCTACTTTGGACACTGCATTCTAATACTCTGCATACTTGGTGCAGGAATATCTGCCTGGTGCACTGCATTCAAATACTCTGCATACTCTGTGCATGGTTGGCGATTTACCTGAGCAAACAGTATGTCAGCATTTTGATATGAGGACTTGGTTAATTATCAAGTCTATTAAAAATAATCACCAAGTTCTCTTACTTGGTACAGCAAACATATATAGTTTGAGATATACTGCTAAAGGCTTGGAGGGTCTGGGAGAGAATCTCACAGTTGGAACATGCGTTTCCCATTTTATTCAAAAGCGTCCTTTACTGGTGATGTAATACATAAGTAATTTATAAACAAGAACAGGAAAATGTAACGCTACATTTGGCGCGTTACAATGAAATTAAATGTAAACAAATACAAAATGAACAATTACACTCATAAATAAAGTCGATACGTAGATTAAATAAAGTAATTTAATAATTATAGGTCTAGTTAAGCTATTTCTTCTGTAAAATACAGAACAGAATGCAACAACGAACATCTGCTAATATCAAGTGTGGAACAGAGACCACAGTGACAATATAAACACATCTATCTTATTAACACAAGTTAATACCACAGTAACAATATAAGCTTTCAAATCACTAGGGCGTAACAATATGGATCCCATCTTACCTTACAAGTTCTGTAAAGAACATCAAATTTAGAATGTAATGTCCCATTTAATATTAGATTTCAACAGGTACAGTCAAATTTCCAAACCAAATTTTTGTATCTGTGAAAGGATTAACTAATGTTCAAAGTACTGTAAATTCAGAATTTATTATGTGCATTTATCGTTGCTATTTTTGAAGAATGGACAAAAATGTGAGATTAAAATATTGCAATTTCAGAAAAATCTGCATACAGATATATGTATAAGATATCAGAATGCAAGTTCTTATTATTGCGATACCCACCCAGTCGCATTATTCACATTAATAAAAACCTAACCATAAATTCTGAATTTACAATAATATGTGTTAAGGAAATTTCGGACTAAATAATTGTCCAGCTATATACAGGTAATATTTTCTTTGAAATCCTATTTATAAGTAATTTAAACACTTTTTTCTTTCACAGCTTCAGATTTCATTTCATTAGTACCTGCCTCATTAAAAGTGTACGGAGTAGAAGGTCAACAGGTGACCTTGAGTGCGAAATTTACCGGATATCCTATCCCTAATATTACATGGTGGCATGAGAATAAACAGCTTCAGACTTTGGAAGGAGACGTGGATGTTACGTATGTCAAATAGATATAATAATGCATAGTTTTTTTCATGCCCCGACTACAATGTTAGGGGGCAAAGTGTGTTCCTGTCTTTTCATCTGTCTGTCCTGCCATTATTCTGTTTAGTTTCAGGTTAAAGCTATGATTTAAGGTAGTTTTTATCACATCAACTTGAAACCTTAGTTGACAATTTCATTATGATTTAACCTTTAAAGACATACATGTATGCAAATGTAGAGTTTTGACCCAGATTGTGGGGTTCACTGGACACACACATATACTTGTTAAAAGCTCAACTGGCTAAAGGTAGACATAGGCAGTTATGAGAACCATATTCAATATTAGTAACTAATGGACAGTGGTTTATGATCCCCTTCCAAGATAAGATTGGATAATTCAAATGACTTCCCCCCTCCCTTCCCCCCTTTTCCTAGCATACATGCAAATACATTCTGTCTAACCAGCTATTCTTTCTTCAACTTTATATGGAAAGAAATTACCTTTACCTTAAATGCAAATGAAAAATGTGATTAGACTTCTTGAATTTAGTTTACTTAAGAATGGAGAAAATTTTATTGATTTTTATATAATATGCTTTTGAAAACTCAGCATAGCAGTTATATATGACAGTCTTTACAAAAAGAAGTATTTATCTTTGAGAAAGTGCACTTTGAAATATTTTTCCCCAAAATAACTACTCTACTATGGCTAATTGGAGACAATCTTAACCTGAATCATTTCAAGGGAGATAATTTTCCTAGATTTAAAGGAATGCTGTTGTTTTCCAAGGGACATTACTTGAAATCAGATAGAGTTAACATTATTCATAGATTGATAGATGATCATGAGTGATACAGGCTCCTTATAGCTTCTAGTATGATTTTCTTCATGAATTTTAAAAATAATGATGACACAGTGTATCTATGTAGTATGTATAAATCATATTCAAACATTTTCAGAACTACCAAGATAGCAACAGCTTACACTATAAGGAAAGTAACAAGACAGATGTCCGGTACATACACAGTTAAAGCTCAAAATGCCCTTGTATCATCCAAAGATATTGAACTGATTGTTAAATGTAAGTGATCATTTGTATAATAAAAATAAGAGGATGTGGTATAATTGCCAATGAGACAACTCTCCACCAGAGACCAAATGTCACATTTGTAGTTCTCTTTTGACCATCTAGGTTTAAGCTGCATAGTTTAAACCTATTGTATCCCCTGCACAAAGATAGTGGTCAAAGCGAAACTTACATATGCAGTTTCCAGCATTAACAATGATTAATGTTTGTGATTAGGTTACAGAGAAGATACATATATCTGTGTAACAGTGAATTAAAGCTTTAAGTGTAAACAAACTTGTTTTGTATAGTTTGTTCTTGTGTTGTTCCATTGCACCATTGTCCCAGGTTAGGGGGAGGGTTTGGCGCCAGCAAACTAGTTTAACCGCGCCACATTCTGTATGTGCCTGTCCCAAGTCAGGAGCATGTAATTCAGTGGTTGTCGTTTGTTGCTGTATATCATATTTGTTTTTCATTCATTATTTTGAACATAAATCAGGCCGTTTGTTTTCTTGTTTGAATTGTTTTACATTTGTTTTTTTGGGGCCTTTTATAGCTGACTGTGCAGTATGGGTTTTGCTCATTGTTGAAGGCTTACGGTGACCTATAGTTGTTAACTTCTATGTTGTTTGGTCTTTGGTGGAGAGTTGTCTCATTGGCAATTATACCACATCTTCTTATTTTTAGCTCAACTGGCCCGAAGGGCCAAGTGAGCTTTTCTCATCACTTGGCGTCCGGCGTCGTCCGTCGTCGTCCCTCGTTGGCGTTAACTTTTTACATTTTGAACTTCTTCTAGAGAACCACTAAATGGAATGAAACCAAACATGGCATGAATGTTCCTTATGAGGTGCTGACCAAGTGTTGTTACTTTGTAGCGGATCCATCATCCAAGATGGCCACCAGCGGGGGACTTAGTTTAACATAGGACCCTATGGGAAATACATACAAATGTCTTCTTTTAGAGAACCACTGAATGGAATGAAACCAAACATGGCATGAATGTTTCTTATGAGGTGCTGACCGAGTGTTGTAACTTTGAAGCCGATCCATAATCCAAGATGGCTGCAAGCGGGGGACTTAGTTTAACATAGGACCCTATGGGAAATACATACAAATGTCTTCTTTTAGAGAACCACTGAATGGAATGAAACTAAACATGGTATGAATGTTCCTTATGAGGTGCTGACCTAGTGTTGTTACTTTGAAGCCGATCCATAATCCAAGATGGATGCCAGCGGGAGACTTAGTTTAACATGGGACCCTATGGGAAATACATACAAATGTCTTCTTTTAGAGAACCACTGAATGGAATGAAACCAAACATGGCATGAATGTTCCTTATGAGGTGCTGACCAAGTGTTGTTACTATGAAGCTGATCCATAATCCAAGATGGCTGCCAGCAGGGGACTTAGTTTAACATTGGACCCTATGGGAAGTACATACAAATGTCTTCTTTTAGAGAACCACTGAATGGAATGAAACCAAACATGGCATGAATGTTTCTTATGAGGTGCTGACCGAGTGTTGTTACTTTGAAGCCGATCCATAATCCAAGATGGCCGCCTGCAGGGGACTTAGTTTAACATGGGACCCTATGAGAAATACATACAAATGTCTTCTTTTAGAGAACCACTGAATGGAATGAAACCAAACATGGCATGAATGTTCCTTATGAGGTGCTGACCGAGTGTTTTTACTTTGAAGCCGATCCATAAACCAAGATGGCCGCCAGCGGGGACTTAGTTTAACATGGGACCCTATGGGAAATACATACAAACGTCTTCTTTTAGAGAACCACTGAATGGATTGAAACTAAACATGGCAAGAATGTTCCTTATGAGGTGCTGACCAAGTTTTGTTACTTTGAAGCTGATCCATCATCCAAGATGGCAGCCAGTGGGGGACTTAGTTTAACATAGGACCCTATGGGAAATACATACAAATGTCTTCTTTTAGAGAACCACTGAATGCAATGAAACCAAACATGGCATGAATGTTCCTTATGAGGTGCTGACCAAGTGTTGCTACTATGAAGCCGATCCATAATCTAAGATGGCTGCCAGCGGAGGACTTAGTTTAACATAGAACCCTATGAGAAATACGTACAAATGTTTTCTTTTAGAGAACCATTGAATAGAATGAAACCAAACATGGCATGCATGTTCCTTATGAGGTGCTGACCAAGTGTTGTTACTTTGAAGCTGATCCTTCATCCATGATGGCTGCCAGATGGGGACAATGTTTAACAAAGGACCCTATGGACAATACATACAAATGTCTTCTTTTAGAGAACCACATACTGAATGGATTGAAACCAAACATGGCATGAATGTTCCTTATGAGGTGCTGACTAAGTTTTGTTACTTTGAAGCTGATCCGTCATCCATGATGGCCGCCAATGGGGGGACTTCCTTTAACATAAGACCCTATGGGAAATACATACAAATGCTTCTTCTAGAGGAGCACTGAATGGAATGAAACCAAAACATGGCATAAATGTTTCTTATGAGGTGCTGATTAAGTGTTGCTACTTTGTTGCCGTTTTACTGTTCAAGATGGCCACCAGGATTTTTTATTAAATTACAGGACCAATATTAAACCAAATTTGGCCTCACTCATTATTAGGGTATCTGTTATGATTTTAATCTATTTTTACATGATTTCCAATACCAAAGTATAATCAGGTGAGCGACACAGGCTCTTGAGAGCCTCTAGTTATAATTATTTTCACAGATACATTTTTCAGCATTTAGCCCTTTCTTGCCAACTTTCGGTTACTTATTCTGGAGATTTTTCTTTCATTGTTAATGAATTCATATCAGAAAATATACAAGTTTGACAAACTGGGGACAATTTATATTTGGTTAAATAAAGTTAAAATTGGTTGGTTGACAATGTAACAGCCAGTTTACACCCATAATTCTTATTCTTAATGTGAACTAGTGCAATATGATATATTTTTGCACACTAAAGGAGTAGGCCCAGTAAGACCCCTTTTTGGCCCCAAAATATAGCAGTTTTACAAAATTGTTAAAATGTAAATTTTTAGCTATTTATTGGAAAGACGAATAATTCTGTTACATAAATATGGGCTGTTTTTTACAATACAATGCACACGTATCGGGTACTAGCATCATTAATTCATGCTAAATTACTGAAATCTTCGAAATTTTAGCATTTTGGTTAATTTGTAGACGGTTTTCGTCTGAAATGGAAGTGGCCGCATTTGTGTTCATTCTTAATATTTAAATGTAAGTTGTATTTGATGATAATACATAACATATATAAAGGTTGAGAATGAACACGGATGCGGCCACTTTCATTTTTGACAAAAACCATCTGAAAAGTGACATATTATGGCATAGTTGATAGATTTTTCATATTTAAGCTTAAATTTGAGCGTCTTTAATGACTAAATCAGTTCAAATCTTTCACATAAACTGATTGAATCGACTGAAGTAGACACTTAAGTGTTTAAAAAGTGTCCAAAATCTTTCATCAGATGAACTTGAATTATGAGGCCAAAATCGGCCCTTACCGGACCTACTCCTTTGGTAATATTCCGTACGAAATAAGTTTTTGCCATACAATAAAAAAATTATTTAATAAAAAGTATGCTATATTTATTGTGTGTACAATGTAAAAAATTTTAAAAGCTAAGAAGATGTAAAAATGAAGTGCTTATAAACCAAAAGGTCTTTATAGAACATGCAAAACTATCAAAATTGAATTTTGCCGGAGGAGCATTTTTACAATTGCAAGATTGTATGTATATTTATTGCATGTATTTACCTGGCCACTCAGATAGTATTGCACAGGAAGACTCCACTGACGCTTGGACAGTGACTCCATTGGCTCTTGGACAGTGACTCCACTGACGCTTGGACAGTGACTCCACTGACGCTTGGACAGTGACTCCACAGACGCTAAATATGTCATTTGATTGATGCCAAGACCAAGCACTGGTTACCTTTGGGAACGGATAGTCCACCAGCAGCAGCAGTGGTAGTATAACAAACAAATTCTATTTATTACAATATGTTTATTTGACAGATAAACCTTTAGTACAGATAAAATCGACTAAACCAGGAGATTACTACATACTCAACAGACTCTATACCATAACATGTAATACACAATCAATACCCTCGGTTGACTTCGGTGATATATGGATGGAATTCTCACCGTGTGGCATAAATCTGTGTAATGACAAGACAAGACAACAATGGAAAAAACTGTCAGATACTAATCTTAAGGTGGAGTATGAGGCTCAGGAAGGGAGTAGTTTCCAATTAATGTTGTTTGCTTCTCAGACTGGAGTGTTTAGGTGCAAAGCTAAGAATGAAGTTGGAAATACAACATCTGCAAAGGAAATAATAAAGATAAGTGGTGAGTTTATGACATAAGGCGATCATTCTTACCATGATTTAGTTGTAATCGGTATGATTCTCAATTTATATTTGAAATACTAAAAGGTTATGAAGAAAATACTCATCAAGTAAACATCATATTGGAAGGGAAAACAAATATAAAAAGGAAGAGTTCAAAAATAGAAAATCACATCGTCTTATAGGGATTATATACCAATACAATTCTTTTTAAATGTTTATTTCAAAATTTGTTCACAGATATTTATATATTAAAACCTTGTTTTCCTGCCTTCCTACAATAGTTAGGGGATATTTTGTTTTCCAGTCAGTGCAAGTGTACATCTATTCCTCTGTCCTATATTAGGTTAAAGTTTTAGTTTAAGGTAGTTAACGATGAAGTTAGGGTCACAACAACTTGAACCTCAGTATGTTTGTTCATTATGATGTTAATTTTATAAAATACATACCAAATTAGGATTTTGACCTGGATTTTATGGTTCACTGAACAATTAAATTGAATATGTGAGCAGGGCATGGTGATACATTGATTCATATTATTTCGTTAATTAATGCCTTATTATGTATGACATTGAATTGGTTTATATAAGATATATTTCATTTCAAATCCATATATTTTGTAGGATAAAACATAATGAACAGGTGAACTGATGTAAATTAAAACCAATTTATTTTATAGAAATGGAGGAAGGTTTGTTCTTACATGTGTCCTATGTTACACCAATAGAGGAAGACAAAATTACAATTACCTGCTACGCCACCTTGTGGGAGTACAATATAGTAAATATATTGTACCGGGAAGATGGATCAGATACACTGCAACCAATAGAAAATGGGAACAGGACCACTATTACTATAGGGAGGTAAACAGAATTGATAACTAGATTTGCAATTGCAAGCAATAGCGGATGTCACCCTTCCCCTCCATTGCCTCTAAGCGGCAGCCATTTTGAAAATTTTAAACAGTGAATGGACATATATGCATGGCTTTACATCTTTCTATAAATTTTCAGAACATTTGGAGCATTTTGAAATTTTTACACATTTTTGCTGTTTCCATGGCAACGGCGGCCATTTTGGAAATTTCCAGAGCCAGAAGTCTCATTTATACTTGCCAGTTAACAATTTTATTAAGTTTCATAAAGTTTGGAGCATTTTGAAATTTTTTACATTTTTGCTGGTTTCCATGGTAACAGAGACCATTTCCAAAATTTTAATGACAGATGCCACATTGGTACATTGGAGGGAACATACCATCAAGGTTTCAATGGATTTGACCTACCATTTTAAGAGAGGAAATGCTACATTAAGGTGTTTGGATCATTTTGACCTGTTTTGCATTGTTTCCATGGTAACTGCAGACATTTTTGAAATTCCAACGCCAAATTCCACATCTACCAATGTTGTTCATCATGACTGTGAAGTTTCATTAAATTTTGAGCATTTTGATATTTTTGAAATTTTTGGTGTAGTTTCCATGGCAACAAAGTAGTTCCAGTGATTGCCAAAATCATCCAAAACCAGTATATAGTGGGCACCTACATTGTATTAAAATATCATGATTCTAAGTTTATGCATATCCAAATAATCCACCAAACTCAAAAAAATTTATTTTTGCACCTTTCTTTGGTTTCCATGGTAACGTTGGCCATTTAAAAAATTCCAATGGTGTCGTGCATAACTAGAGTTGGTGGTCCTCATTTTGGTACCCATTCAATACAATTGGTCCATTAATCGATGAGAAAACTGGCGGACAAAAAAAGGTGGAATAATAATAATAATAACTAGATTTGCAATTGCAAGCAATAGCGGATGGCACCCTTCCCCCATTGCCAGGTGAGTGGCAGTCATTTAGAAAATTCCAAAGTCAAAGAGTGCATCTACACATGCAAATTATCATTTTTGTAAAGTTTCATTAAGTTTGGAGCTTATGAAATTTTTGACATTTTTGCTGTTTCCATGGTTACAACGGCCATTTTGAAAATTCCAACTTCAAAATGCAACTCTGCCCATGCCAGTTACCATTTCTATAAAGTTTCATCCAGTTTGCAGCATTTTGATTTTTTTTTGAAATTTTGGACATTTTTGCTGCATCCATGGTTACAGTGGATAATTCCAAAATTCTAAAAGCAGACATCTTATTGCCACATGTCATGTTATATATCAGTACAGTTTCATTGACTTTGGTGAAATACTTTTTAAGAAAATGCTGATTTTATGCATTTTTCCATAGGGTCAATGTTAAACTTGCCCCCAGTTTCCATGACAACAGCGGCCATTTTGGAGTATCCAAATATCGTCTTGGCATCTTGGCATACTAGGTTACATTTCCATTAAGTTTCATTCAGTTGAGTCTTATAATGAAAGATTTAGCATTTTTCACAATTTAACTGTTTCCATGGTAACGGCAGCCATTTTGAAAATTCCAAGTTCAAAATGCAGCTCAGGCCATGCCAGTTACTATTTTAGTGAAGTTTCGATCAGTTTGGAACACTTTGAATATTTTCAGATTTTTGCTGTTTCCATGGAAACGGCAGCCATCTTGACCATTCCAAAGTCAGATGCACAACTTCACATGTTGATCCACATTATGGTAAAGTTCCATCAACATTGGTCCATTCAATTCTAAGAACTTGCGTGGACAAAATGTGTGGAAGAAGATTAAGGAAAAAAAGAATCGTAGAATAACAATACGTCACCCCAACTCTTGTTGAGGATGCCATAATAAAGAAATGGAGGAAAAGCAATATGTCACCCGACGTTGTCGTACGGGTGACATAATTACCTCACAAGGGGAAACTACAGGAGAAAGAAAAAACTAAAAAAGACAAATTATAAAACATTTCAATCCTGGCAGCATTGTCAATACTATATCATTTGCATGTCATATTGTTTATAAAATACAAAAAACAGGCTAATCAAAAAAAAATTTTTGAATTACTTCATCAGACTCAGAAAATCATCAAGTAATAGAATATTTATCTGTTGCCCACATCTAAGTCAAAGTAAACAGGGGGTTGCAATGTGTCCATGTTTATATATAATGTTTTTCGAGCTGAGGTTAAATTCATACATTAACGGTTCACCCTTCACATTAATATCATAATTTTCACGAAACATTCATGTGACGGATATTTTGATGTATTTTTCATGATCCTAAAATAAGCGAAAATAACACTGTGCACAAATTTCCATGTTTATAGTATAGAATAGAAATAACTTTTCTTGAAAATATGTTATTGCTTAAGTGAAAAAGCAAAAAAATATTGTTCTCTGTGTTTTTATCTGAAATATAATTATTTGTTTTTTGTTAGTAGCCTTTACTCCAAAATTATGTTTTCACTATTCTCTTTCATTTTTTAGCTCAACTGGCCTAAAGGGAAGATCTACTAACAAGTTAAATTTTGACAATTTAGTTAGTAGACTGTCACTCTTTCTAGGAGTGATTGCCCTTAAATGAGGATTTTTTTTTATCCCTCTTTTGTGTTTTGAGCAAAAACTAAAAAAGATAGAGAGAAACTAAACAGACTAAATGATCAGCAATACAAGATCAACAAAACAGAGATTTTTGTCATGAATTCTATTCTTGTCTACAATGTTGGAGAGTGTCCTTTTTGAATATGCACATAGACCAAGGTAAGTGACACAGGCTCTTTAGAGCCTCTAGTTTCGAGTTTCTAAATTGAGGGAGCTAAGTGGCCCATGGAAAAAATAAGGGGAGAGGGCTCAGCAGTCAAAATTAAAAACAAATGTACTTTAAAAGCTAATTTTTGTCCAAAACTGAACTATGTGTTAGTTGTGCTGGCCATTGATATGTTTCTAAATGTTTTGTAAATACAGAAAAATACACAAAAACCTAAGACTGAAATTGGATTTTAGATTTTAATGATGATTTTTCATTTGATTTCAGATCTGCTTTTTCCCTAACAGTTAAGCTGGTTATTCATTCAGTCAAACTATCAGATACTGGTTCCTATGTTTGTCTGGGTATGAAACCCAATAGCAGTAGTCATATAGAACCAGATAGAACAGAAAAAAAGATTACAGTTAGAGGTATTGTATACTTGTATTAATTTGCATTTATATTTAAAACACAATTGGGTGGACACTAAAAGTAAATCTGTCAAAATTACTAGTGTTTTGAATTAGAAATCGGGTACAATACTGTAAATTCAGAAATTATTGTGAAGATTTTATTAATTCGAATAATGCGACTGGGTGAGTACTGTGGATTCATTATTATTCGTTGGATACCAATTTTCGTGGGTTTCGTGGGTATAGGTGAACCACGAATTCAAATGTTCAACGAATAACATATTTTCAATAGGCTTTGTATACAGAGATTGGCAAAACCACGAAATCAAATATCCACGAATATGCAAGTTTTCAGCAATCCACGAAAATTGATACCCACGAAAATAAATGAATCCACAGTATTGCAATAGTAAGAACTCGCATTCTGATAAAATCTGCAAACAAATTTTTCGAAATCGCAATAATTAAACTCACATTTTTGTCCATTCTTGAAAAATCGCAATAATAAATGCATACAATAATTTCTGAATTTACAGTATACAGTCAAACTTGTATTAAGTAGTCACTGATGTGAATTAATAAAAGTGAGGAGATTTGCAATCTTCATAAAAACCTGCTCTTAAAACAGACCTCTGTATTTCAAACACGTTGGATAGATCCAGTTGTCTTATTTGTGGAAATTTGCTATGGAGAAATAGGAATAGTAAAACCAACGATTTCTATATTATTCTTTAACAGGGATTGTAAAACCACATTTAGCTGGAGGATCACATGAGCAAGACACGAGAATTAGTATTAATGAGGGAATATCTTACAAAGTGGCTGATTGTGAGATGGTAGGGATACCAGAACCAACCTACCGATGGTTTAAGGACAACAAGTTAATAGATGATGACAACAATACTTTAGGGATCTACTTTACAGACAACAATAAGAGGTTTGTACTTGTGGATTACATTTTAGGACCATTAAAAGCTTTATGCATTTTATTTTAGTTTTATTCTGGCACTTATGTGCTAAAATAGTTGTTTTTATTCTGCTAGCTTACATGCTCCCCTAGTTTATTTGGAAGTCCTATAATAATATTTTGTACTTTAAAAGTTGACAGCTGCCAGATAGAAATGTTGTAATGTATATTATATAAATGCTTCTATCCAGTATATACATCACGATAATGAGATCTTCATCGGTATTGATTACTGTAAATTTAGAAATTATTGCGAGGTTTTTATTAATGCGAATAATGCGACTGAATGAATATCGCAATAATAAAAACTCGCATTCTGATATCTGATACATATAACTGTATGCAGATTTTCCTGAAATCGCAATAATTAATCTCGCATTTTAGTTCATTCTTCAAAATTCACAATAATAAATGTACGCAATAATTTCTGAATTTACAGTATGTAAGCATATGATAAAATACGTTGTACAGAGGACAAAATCAAGAATAAGGAATACTTGCTTAACATCATATTTTCTTGTAGTTGTTTTGTAGAGGAATAAATATGTAAGTGTATGAAAATACATCTTCTACATAAACTTTCAATCATTTTTTGGTTTCTATGGAAGCACTTGTTCTATTTGAAATTTAATTGATAATTCATCTGTTATCAAGTCTGTCAATTAACCGCACATTTGCAACGTTTTACTCAGTTACATGATCTACACTTAGGTGGTTAAAATTTTTCTCAGACATAATTAACTTGGTCAAACCTTCATGCACAGAATTTTATGAAAATTACACAGAAACAGACACTATCCAAAACAAATTAGTTTTTTTTTTCTTCAATTCTAAATTTTACTGCTAAAAGGACTCAGTTTTTGGCAGTTAACACATAATAAACCTCTTAGGTTAAAGTTTTTTTTTACATCAATAACTTTGTAAAACCTTCATAGAATATTAAGAATGGCAGAAGTTTTATTTATGATTAAGAGATTATGTCTGAAGCAAAAGTTTGAAAATGTTTTTTTTTCATTTTTCTTTATTTTATAATGGCAATAACATTTGCACTCACTAATTTTCACACCCTGTGGTTTATTAATTTGGTGTTGTGATGAAAAGTTGCATGATTACTCACCATTACTAGAAGTTGTGTTTTGTATATGAAAGAAAACTGTACAGACAAAGTCCTGGTAAATTACTTAGATCAACTTAGTCAACGTGTGCATATGTTCAAAAAGTCTTATCCACCTCAATTATTTTTTATGTGTAGCAGGGTTCTCTGTGATGGCTTCCCATCACACACGGGGGGGGTCTCAACATGGGATTGTGGGTACAGTTGTGCAGCTGGGATTTAAAAAACACCCCCCATTCATATATTGAATAATTGTGAAATCCCTACCTATACATATATTTCACAGCGAAATCATAACCTATTCATATATTTATAAATAAACGCAACACAATTAATGCAAATAGATCGATGTGTTATGACATAAGTGCAAAAGGTTTGATATGTGACCTTTTTTTTTTACTATACTCTAGTCGTAAAGATTATTAATTGTGACAGTGTAATAAAATTTGATCATTAACTAAACCTGTGTCAATAAGTTTCAGCAAATGTGGAAATTTTAATGACAAAGAGTTTGGGAAATTCAGTGAAGATCGTTGCACAACAAACTGAAAAATTATGACCCATTTATATATCACAATTGGTCAATTACTACCTATTGATATATTTCCTCGGTAAAATTGCACCCCATTGATATATTTGGCGTATCAAAAAAGGGACCCATTCCAGCGGCACATATGTATTTACCTTTATATAGAAAGAGACCCCCCCCTGGGTGCCATCACATTCATTTAGTTTACTGAAAAAGTTAGTTTGTACTGTACAAATGTTGAAATCATCAATTTTCATAGACATATATTATTATTATGTTTGTTATTTCAGTTTACACATTAATGAAACTTCTAAAATTCACCGAGGTGTTTACACATGTGAAGCAACGAACCGAGGGGGCGTGGCTTACAGTAACTGGACTTTATCTGTTGGTATGTTACTATTTTAAGAGCAAAATCAAAAATAAAGAAGGATTAAGAAGTAAAATTCTACATTTGTTTACTAGAATAAATAGAAATCACCCTGTCTGTCTATCTTTATGTTAACTTTTTCAGGGGTCATTTGGTAGTAATAAGTACAATGTACCTTGATAAAAGACATGAATTTGAGAAAAATTGGTGGACAACAACAATGAAGCATTTCGCAATCATTTTTTATTTCCTGATAACATGTCACATTTATATGACTTATCATGCTCTCTTTATCAACACTATAATTTTGAATAAGAAAACAAACAAAAAGCTTGTCAATGAATTAGTTTCATTGTTAAAGGGTAAAATGTCTTTTTTTAGCATTGATCCTTCTATTTTGAAAATTCTATAGAGTTGTATAATTATTGATCATGCACACATTTTAAGTAAGAATTGATTGTGTGCTTCATGGAAAATGAGCTTCAGTCAAAGCTTTTACACCCCTTTACATCACAAAAAAAGAATTATTCATTACTTAATAAAACACACAAACATACTTTTGTTATAACATAAAGTACCATGACATAAACTTGTTTACAGTTTCAAAGGTAAAGATGAAGGTAAATTGTATCAAGAAGTTTTTACAAGCTATGTTAAGTGAGACCCTTAATATGAATATATCGTGACCACCAAGAGATATTTTTTTTTTAGAATATTGAAATGTGATTTTTTTTGTAGGTGAACTGAATAAAGGACTTCAAAAAAGACATGAAACAGAAATAATTGTGTCTGTGGTTGTCGTAGCAACAATAATGATAGTAGTCATAGTGATACTGATGTGTATACTGTACAGACGTAAAGCTGCAGCACTGGTGAGTCATGAGTTAGAATAGAGAATGACAAATACACGTAGCTTCATGATATGTGTAAGAATAGGGAATGACAAATACACATAGCTTCATGATATGTGTAAGAATAGGGAATGACAAATACACATAGCTTCATGATATATTAAATGAAATATCAATGTCCTTAAATAATAAAACTCATCATAGATACCAGGATTAAAATTTTGTCCCCCAGACTCAAAGAAATCAGATCCTTCACACAGCTCTGTTAGAATTGTTTGTCATTCCTGTAAGATCTGAGGACATCTTATAAAGGGTCATGTACAGATGACCTTTTCATGCAAATTTTTAATCTGCTTATCATTTCGAGTGACACATTGGCACTTTGATTACAATTTTTTACGGCAAATATAGATGAAGGTGTTTTTAAAATTTATTTCACCGTTATGATGATTAAACGTTTAACAACTAAAGTTTTCTTATCTAAAACATGAAGAAAAAATGAAGCTTTACTGTTTTGCTAAGATTTGAAATGTTTTCAATCGGCTCGCTGCATAAAATCAGAATCGTGTCCAGAAATTATCTAATTAGAACATTGAATTTCTGGACTATTTGGAAATAGCTTACCGTGTACCTGACAATATTTCTTATAGTCATAGATTAAAACCATCTTTTAATGTTGACCAGTACTCCTTCTTATGTGAGTTATGTAGATTGTGATAAACAATGTCCCCACTCAAACATGACTGTGTATTTATATATTTCAAAGACTTTTGTATCTCCAGTGATCATGGCATGTCCCATTAAGCCAATCGCTGAGCAGTATCAAAGTCATAAGTGAGTTGATGGATTCAAACTGTAGATATAAAACCTTTCTTTAATTCTTAGTTTAATTATATCTTGATTATATATAAACAAAAATTACATTTTCTTTAATCAAATTGCATTTAATTATTTTTGTTCATTAAGCATAAAGAATTGGAGAAAACGTTGATACATCCAAGTGGAGACTATAATCCTGATATACCTATTGATGAACAAACATCCTGTTTACCCTATGATCCAAAATGGGAGTTCCCAAAAAAGAGGCTCAGACAAGGTAAACTCACAGAATCTTTCAATTTGCCATTTCAGAATCTAATGCAGTCTGTGTATTTGCTAACATCTGGAACAATGGATATACAACCAATGGTAGAACCATATTTTTATGCCCCCACCACTAGGCTAAGGGGGCAATAAGTGTTACCCTTGACTGTCTTTCCATATGTCCTTCTGTTTGTCCTATTTTTGTTTCCGCACTCTATCTTAAGTTTTCCTTCTCCAAATTTTATGAAACTCATACATAATGCTAAGAACTGAAACTCGCAAACATAGTTCAAATTTGGACAGTGAGTCACTTACTGTTCTAGAGTTATGTCCCTTTATAACTTGGAAAACGCCAATTTTTTTCGTTTCTGCACTCTAACTTAAACAAGTAAGGCTAACAAAGAAATTACAATAAAGGGAACCAATGCATTATTCAGAGAATTTAATGATTATAGGTTCAGATGTTTAGCATAGAAACTGGTCACCACTGACCATTCCAAGAATTGCAGAAGGTATTCTTTAACATGCAGAGAGCATGGCACTCGAGTAGCATAGGGCATCAGATTGCAAGTCTGTATTCCAATAAGGTTAACTTGTAAAGAAAAAATGAAAATTTTTAATTAGTGCTTATGATAATAGTTATCTTGTATTATGAAATCAAAGTAAGAAAAACTGTTACAAACCTCTTTTTTACGTTTGGTGTTGGTTTATGAAGTACTGACCCATATTGAGGAAAGCTTTCATTGCATTATTTTAGGTATGGTATTAGGTCAGGGGGCCTTTGGTCGTGTCATTAAAGCAGAGGCTATTGGTATACAGGATTGTGAAGATGTCTCTACAGTTGCTGTAAAAATGGTTAAAGGTAAGCCATTTGAAGTGTAACACAATAATCATTTATGTGTCATTAGGAAAACATATTCCATTTGTACAGTACCATCCAAAACAAATATTCTACCTTTAAAATGTGTTTTTTAAGTCCCAAGAAAAAACTCTAAACATTGAAAAATAATTAGTTAAGTACAATTCTAAACCTCATGAAAAGAAATGTACTTTTTTACCTAGTCTTCTTTACCATAGAATAGCAAACAAACATTCAAACGTACCAACTTAAAATTATAAATGAATAAACCAAAATTAAATTCAGAATGGTACAGGAATTCTTCTATGTGAATCGAAGTCCATAGTTTGAAAAATATTAACTAAACTTCTGAATGATTTGAATAGTGAATAGTGAGTTTATAGTATAAACGAAAAAACACTTTTTGGGTTAACTCATGACTTTTGAATTTTTTGTTTCTTTTCATTTTATTAGATTGCACAGATAAAGAACAGATGATGGCTTTACTGTCAGAGCTGAAGATACTGATTCATCTCGGTCAGCATCTCAATATTGTAAATTTATTGGGTGCCGTGACCAAGGAAATCAGATATGGTAAGTGTAATATATTACATGTATCACTATTGTTTTCTTTGTGTCATTAGGTTGCTATCTCATGGAAATACCAAAATCTCCTTTTTATATGCCCGTTTACAGGACGTATTATGGTATACCTCTGTCCGTCTGTCCGTCCTTCGTCAACATGTCGGATATTAACTCAAAAACGCTTTAACCAATTTGCATAAAACTTTGGTGAATTGTTTATATCTATTGACTTGAGCTCCCTTTAGTTTTTTATAAATTTTAGATTTTATGTTTCCGAGTTATGGGGTTTTATTCATTAAAAAAAGGGGGATTTTCCAGTTTTCGGACAATAACTCAAGAATGCTTTCACCAACTTGCAAAAAATTGTGGTGAATTGTTTATATCTATTGACATGAGCTCCCTTTCGATTTTTAGAAATTTAAGATTATAGTTTCCGAGTTATGGGGTTTTATTCATTAAAAAAGGGGGATTTTCCAGTTTTCGGACAATAACTCAAGAATGCTTTCACCAACTTGCAAGAAATTGTGGTGAATTGTTTATATCCATTGACATGAATAAGCTCCCTTTCGATTTTTATATATTTTAGATTTTACGTTTCCGAGTTACGGGGTTTTATTCATAAAAAAAGGGGAAGATCTACAAATAAGTCAACAAGGGTGAAATTGCCGGATGACTCCTGATAAGAAATATAATCCTTAAATGGCAATTTTTAACTGGATTTCCAAAGGAAAATATCGGTTATTAATTTGGTGATGTACAGTGAGCAGCCAGGCGGGCGGCTGCAAAACAGTGTCTGTGCAATTACTTGAAAATGCTTTGACGAAATCTTTTCAAATTTAGATAAGTTGTTTCCTCTGACTAAATGAATGTCGAGATTAATTTTCACAATTTTTACTTTAATCATTGTTGAGTTTAAGATCTTTAAGTAGCGAAAATTGATACTTACATTGATTTTGGCCTTTCCATTTCTGAACCCTAGATTATCAAGTAAGTCAACATGTTCAAGATCTTCTATTGACTATCTTAAGCAGTTATTGCTCTTAAATGATTGATTGATTGATTGATTGATTGATTGTTTGTTTGTCTCGAGATTAATCTGAACACATGCTATCTTAGTACAAAAAGATTGGAGTCAAACACACCTTAATTGCCACAAGCAGGTTTTCCAACTTGAAACTGCAGAGTTGACAGGCAAGTGATGACTGTACAGATGAACTACTTGGACCACTTTGCCAACAAAGTGCCTTACTGTTAAATGATGATTTGCTACTAATTCTAGTGTTTTTACCGAACATCTTAAACACTATAATAGATAGACTGAAACTTTGAACAGCAAAACAGTAAAAATGATCATCAAACCAAGATCTACAAGTTAGTCAATATGATTGTAATAGTCATTGTACTCCTTACAGGAGTTGTTGCCTCTAAATGACAATTTTTACCTGTTTTTGCCTATTATCAAATATTGAAAATTTTAATGAATAGAATAAAAGCTGTCCAGCAAAAATGGTCTGTAAGACAAGGTTTTAGCCCCGACAGTTACATGTAACATAAATTTTCTTGTTGCATCTGGTTCAATTTTTTGTAAAAATGCCAGGTAAATAATATGGGCTCCTTGGAGACTCTCATTATCAATCAGACATCACCATTTAGATAAAACATTTATAGACATATACATTTTTGTATAAAAATCTTATAATTTTTTGTCTCACCTGCAGCTTTCCTAGAAACAGTGAGACATATCTAGGGATGATAGATCAAACATTAGGGTCACCATTTAAGTTTTATATGAGATTGAGGTTGTTTTAGACATAAATAAACCTGTCAAACCTTCATGGAATTTGAAATAACATGTATTCTTTATTTCTCAATTTTTAGGTGAATTAATGGTGATTGTTGAATACTGCCATTTTGGAAATCTCCGTAACTACCTCATTAAATATAAAGAGACATTTAAGGACACCATGGAAGATTACGTCGATCCCGTTGAGATGAAGAGGCGTGAGGCAGTTAGAGATTCTGCTAAAACACCCTATTATGTTAATAAAGCTCCTTTAGAGGACTCTGCTGATACAGATGGTCCACTTCTGACCACCAAAAATCTCATTTGTTGGGCTTTCCAGGTTGCTAGAGGAATGGAATACTTGGCTTCTAAAAAGGTATAGATAATGTGGAAGATCTTATCAAACATATATTGGTATTTTGGGAATTAGGATATTACATATTAGTTAACCTTGAATCAAAATTATAAGATCCAAGGAAAAAAAAAAGTTTGATAGATTTAAAGAAAATTTATCTTCAATAGGGAAAAAAAATTATTTAACAAAATTGTTATTACATTTAACCCAAAATTAGCAACAGGCAGATTAATCATTGCTTGTTTTTTTTTCTTCATTTCAGTACATTCACAGAGATTTAGCAGCTAGGAATGTTCTGTTAGCACAAGATAATGTTGTGAAGATCTGTGATTTTGGTCTGGCTAAAGACTGCTATACAAATCCTGAGTATCATAAAAAGGGAGATGTAAGTTTAAAGGGCAGATTATTAATCCCCTTGAAATATGCACTATATCTGTATTTTAATTATTCTTTGTTGGTTTGTTTCTTTTTCAGTATAAATCAATTAGTATCTGTATGTAGAGCAAAAAAGGGTTAAAAAAAACAAAATTATGGTTACGTCGTTAAGCTGCAAATTCAGTCATTTTTAATGTTTTATCATGCGTCACTCACGCATAAATGATGTTGACTGTGGAAACGATTCCTTTTATTTTCATATCGCTAAAAGAGAAATTTTGACAGCAATAATAAATCCTTTTTAAACAACATTCTGAACTTCAAGAAAAACAATCTGAATTGTATTCAAATGATGTTAAGAACCAGTTTGTGTTAAATATCAAAATTGATCCTTTATTTCTTAGAAAAATGCTCTTGTAAAATAATGTTCTGGATGTTTAAAAAAAAAAGAAGAAATCTTAAATGTGTTTATAGCAAAATTTTTGTATACATTTTAGGGTCCAGTACCAGTGAAGTGGATGGCAATAGAATCTCTAACACATCAAGTCTACACAACTAAAAGTGATGTGTAAGTAATTAATAGGCTGACTAGTTATGTATATACCATTAAAAGTGAAGTAAAAGATATATATTATATATATACCTAGAGATGTGGTTAAGGCCCCCTTATGGAGCTACATTTTTGATTAAGCATAGACTTTGTTTTGCCAGAGGCCGATTATTTTCAAAATCCTGGATCCGCACCTGAGCTTGACATTCCTTACATAAATTTTTGGCAGGAAAATATATATTTGAAATAAAAGAAGAATGTGTCTGCGGACACGAATGCCCCAGCTCAAGCTTTGCAACAAAAATAGGACGGACGGAAAGACGAACTGTCAAGGATAACACGGGGGCATAATAAGGTTAAAAAATTTGTAAAGCTAATACTGACTAGCACATTCAGTTCACATGGCTATTTAGACTGATTTTAACAAAGCTAACCCAAATAGTACATGCTAAAATTTAGCATAATTGATTTAAAAAAGGAAGAAACTTGTCGCCTCAACTCCACATTCTGGTTTTATGAATCTTATTTGAAATCTTAGGAGTTGTAAGAAATGTGTATCTGCTACAATTTTATTTTAAAAACAGTATAGACACAATTATAAATGATTGCAAACACTATTCCCCTGGGCTCACCAGTTTGTCACATGGTCCCTTTCTGGTTTGCTGATTTTAGGTCATGTGGAATGAAGCCAATGAAAATTTAGAATAAAAGAAAACATACAATCTGACATTAATTCACTAGAAAAATTGATTTGATTTGTGTATTATGTTTGCCTTTAATTGATATCTTCAAAATAATCTGCAAAATCTTGGTGTATGTGCATATTTTTAGTACAATAATTATGATATACCTTTGATACTAAAGCAATCTAATTTGATTTTTTACGAATAAATTTATATTTTTATCTTAGCTTCAGAGCAGCATGTCATACTCACATTACTTGAAAATATAATTTAATTTGAATTTTCTTTCAGATGGTCATATGGTGTGTTTATATGGGAATTATTTTCTTTAGGTAAGTCTTGGTCACATGTTAATCACATGGTAATTGTTCAATGTTTCTTTTCCATGTATGAGAGTTGTCTTCCCTTTACATTATTAAAATACACAACTTTTATAAAGAGAAGTATTATCTGTAAAATGTAAATTAGTGATCAGTTTTTGGAAACTGAAAAGGGCAGATATAAAAGATTAAATGAGAAAATAGGACTTGCCAATATTGTGGTTTAAAAGAATTATTAGATCAATCCCACTTCTTTTTCACCTGTTTCAGATTTAAAACTCTACATCTAAAATTTGAAAAAAAAAATGTTTATAATCAGATCCCAGATCTAAATAATTTAGACATAAAAGATAAATTATTAAAAATATTATCTATCCCTGAAGTTATGCAGTCTGTCCTCTAGTTATTAAAAAGTCTAAAGTACTGTGGAAAAAGGACTTGTTAAATGTATAGTTCACATCCTGTCTATGTACATGCATTACAAATTTGTTTATTTTATTCTAATTGTATTGCATTGTTGTTTGTTAACCATTGTATGCAATCAAGCCCTCAAGGTATATGCAATATACGTTTAAAATAAATGAATAAAGGTTATTTTGAAGGAATGTATATATTGATGTGTCAACTTAGCCTACTCTGACTCAAACTGATTTATATCAAAAGGAATTTATGTTAAGTTTGTGAGTCAAGGTTGAGCTGTCTCATCAATAAACTTTGTAACAATAACCTATATAACTTATACTTCTAATAAAATGCACAAAAAAATTCAGAGATCAAATATTTCAAGGACACTTGCAGCCTGTGTAGGAACATGTGATGTGATGAAACAGATTCATACATGTATATATATATATATACTATATATGCCCTTGAATTTTTACTAGATAACATTTTTGTTCGCTTTGGAGATTCCGTATATCGTCAGGTTATTGGAATTCCAATGGGGACTAACTGTGCACCACTTATTGCGGACCCTTTTTTTGTATTGCTATGAGTTACAATTTATGACAAAAATCAGCAAAAACCCATCGAAACAACATCTGATACACAAATTTAATAATACTTTTAGATATTTGGATGATATTTTGGCTCTCAATAATGACGACTTCAGTATGTATACTAAAGAAATTTATCCTGTTGAACTTACTTTAAATAAAGCTAATACTAACAATGACCACTGCCCTTTCCTCGATCTTGATATCTATATCATTAACGGAAAGCTTAATACTAAAATATATGATAAAAGAGATGATTTTTCATTTCCTATCGTTAATTATCCATTTTTAGATGATGACGTTCCCTTGTCACCATCTTACGGTGTTTATATATCTCAACTTGTACGATTCGCTCGTGTATGTAACAATGTTTTAAATTTTAACGAGAGAAATTTATGTATTACTGAAAAATTATTACACCAGGGTTTTCGATATCACAAACTAGTCAAAACATTTACTAAATTTTATCATCGGTATAAGGACATCATTCGTAAATATAGCTCAACATGCAGACTTCTTATACGTTCAGGTATTTCACATCCAATTTTTTATGGAAATATTCTTTATAAAGCACAAAAATGTCAGTATTCACCTCTGAAGCTAACAAAACCTTTAAATAGACTTATTAAGAAGGGATATAGTTACGATACTGTTGTCAGGTCATTAAAGATTGCATATTTTGGCGTTAATATTGATTCACTTATAGGGTCTTTGCATCGGCACTAAACACATTTATTTAAAAACCAGTTGTTGGCATGACACGGGTTATGTTCTTCTCATATATGTTATGATGGTATGATACTAAACCCCTAACGGGAAGGATTGTGCCTGATATTCATATGATGAAGACATAATCTTTCAATCAGTTTAATTGAAGTCTGGAGCTGGCATGTCAGTTAACTGCTAGAAGTCTGTTGTTATTTATGTATTATTGTCATTTTGTTTATTTTCTTTGGTTACATCTTCTGACATCAGACTCGGACTTCTCTTGAACTGAATTTTAATGTGCGTATTGTTATGCGTTTACTTTTCTACAATGGCTAGAGGTATAGGGGAGGGTTGAGATCTCATAAACATGTTTAACCCCGCCGTATTTTTGCGCCTGTCCCAAGTCAGGAGCCTCTAGCCTTTGTCAGTCTTGTATTATTTTTAATTTTAGTTTCTTGTGTACAATTTGGAGTTTAGTATGGCGTTCATTATCACTGAACTAGTATATATATTTGTTTAGGGGCCAGCTGAAGGACGCCTCCGGGTGCGGGAATTTCTCGCTGCATTGAAGACCTGTTGGTGACCTTCTGCTGTTGTCTGTTCTATGGTCGGGTTGTTGTCTCTTTGACACATTCCCCATTTCCATTCTCAATTTTATCAATTTTTGGGTTTCCTCGACACTCACCAATGAAATTAGATTTAACATATAATTTGGAATTGTTAACAGGTATTGTCACAGAACTTCATGAAAAAGTTGATTCACAAAGATTTTTATGCCCCCTCCGTGGTATTGGAGGGGGGGGGGGCATTAAATTTTACCATTGTCTGTCTGAACATCTGTCTGTCCGTACATCTGTCCATCCCAAAATTAGTTTCTGATCTCTAACTTAAGTTTGCCTCTACCAAATGTTATAAAACTTATACACAATGCTTATTACCACTAAACACAGATCAAGTTTGAATTTGGGTGCCATCAATTTCACCGTTCTCGACTTATGTCCCTTTGTAAAGGAAAAAATTGCTAAATTTGTCATTTCTGCAATCTAACTTTTGTTTGCCTCAATCAAATATTTTAAACTTATACATAGAAATAAGAAGATGTGGTATGAGAGCCAATGAGACAGCTATCCATCTAAGTCACAATGTGTAAAAAGTAAACAACTATAGGTCAAGTACGGTCTTCAACACACCGAACAGCAAGCTATAAAGGGCCCCAAAAATAACTAGTGTAAAACCATTAAAACAGGAAAAGCAACAGTCTAATCTATATAAGAACCAAGAAACGAGAAACACGATGCTTATTACTATCAAACACAGATCAAGTTTGAATTTTGGTGGCGTCACTTTTGCTGTTCTTGGGTTATGTCCTTTTGTAAATTGAAAAATTGCATAATTTGCAGTATATTTTCAAGCGAGGGTATCTGTGTCTCATGGACACATTCTTCATTTATTTAACAAGTATTTTATGCTATAGGAACACAAATTCTTTAATGTATAGAAAACTTTCATTGTTATTTGTCATTTTATTCCTCATCACATCTTCAATCTTTAAGTGAAAAACTATAGAGTCTAAAACACAGATTCAATATATCAAAAGAGATACTGGAAATTGATAATTTGATGATTGATGATTAAAAATTCAATTGTATTTAATATTCCCAACTACTACTCCTGGTACCCTTAATCTATTGATTGCAGTCCAATATGTAAAATGTGAAAAGTATGATATCCTCCTGCAAACACTATCCCTAATCTCCAAACAAACCAAATTTAATTATATACTGTGGATTCATTATTATTCGTTGGATACCAATTTTCGTGGATTTCGTGGTTATATGTTAACCACGAAATTAAAAGTTCAAAGAATGGCAAATTTACTATAGGCTTGTATGCAGACATTGTCAAAAACCACGAAATTAAATATCCACGAACATGTAAGTTTTCCTTAATCCACGAAAATTGGTACCCACGAAAATAAATGAATCCACAGTATATACTCATCCATTACCTCAAAAATGTCATGATTCAACTGTTTTATGTTGATAAATTCGCCTTTGTCGAATCTAAAGCATTCTGGGTATTATTATCAAAAGTGGACAAGTAAATATGATAATTTATTAAAATCATCATAGAGATTCTTTTTTCATGTAGGGTATATGTATGTATAAAACTACCCATAGACCTTCAGATTCTGATCTGACAAATTGTATTAGTTATAGTATATGATTGATTATTTGATAGGCGGTACACCTTACCCGGGCATTGAAATCAACGAAAAGTTTATCAACCTGCTGAAGGATGGATACTTTATGGAGAAACCAGAACATTCATCAGATGAAATGTAAGTTATTGTTAGTCTGTTTGTAATATTCTCTTTTTTTACCATCACTCAATAAGTTACCCAAATTGACAATTTACTAAAAGAAAGCATTGTTTTGTACCTCAAATTTAAAAAAATTATCAGATTCTTCAATCATTTCAAAATTATGTTAGTTTTAATAATAAATCAATAAGATGTTTTAATCTGGTAAATCAGGTACAGAAATGTCAGATGAGATGTCACTTTGACATTATAAAAAAATGATATTGATATATTTGACTAAAAAGAGCCATGTTACAAAGTTATCAAACAAAGCTGTCCCTAGATGGATTTGACTATTCTTTTTAGGTCCTCTTTGGTCATAAGCTCCTCATGTTTTCAATTAATTTAACATTCTTGGCTTTCTGATGAAGGTAAATCAAGAAAAGTATTTCAGATGCACCAGAATTATAGAATGTCATTTTAGGCCATACTCAAAAATATTTTTTACCTACATTAACATCATTGTATAAGACATCTTGTTGCAAATTATCTTTTTGCTCAAATTTGAATATAGATAAAAGCTAAGAATTATTCTAATTTGCAGTTTTTTGTTGAAAGCAATTATTTTGAAGCACCAATGCAAATGTGCAGGCCAAAATACAAATTATAAACTTTGATATCTGACAGACTGACAGACTATGAATGGCTCATGAACAGCTGAAGGATGCTATTTAATAGACAAATCATACTTGTTGCAAATTCAAGGGACAAAAACTTGGCTCAGTCATACCTTATCTTATACCAGTTATATGCATGTTCCTTCTGTTAACAACTGTGTTTAGCTCACTTTTCCTGAAAGGCCAAGAGGGGTTTTGCCATCACTCAGAGTCCATTGTTTGTAACCATTTTGAAATACTTTGCCAAAATTTTGACCAAAATTGACAGGAATGATGTATGGAAGGTCTTGTATGAGTGAACTTCATCTTGTTCCATTCAGATGAAAAAGTTGGTCATAAGAAGCAATCTTGATTCCTTTTTGGACCATTTTGAAAATTCTTCTCTACAACTACAAGGGGAATTGTTTTGAAACTGAGCAGGATTGATACTTTGGCAGGCATGGTGAATAGACGAACCTTTACAAACTCCTAAGTTGGTTCTAATCAGTTTAAGACATGGTTGTTAGAGACTCATTGTAATTGTGTCTTTTATCTATAATCATGATAATATTTGATTTGTTGACATTGTTTAATACTTTTTGTTCAATTTAAGTCTCCATTATTTTGTTATGCAGGTATAAAGTGATGAAAGCAACATGGCGAACTGAACCAGATGAAAGACCGACTTTTACACAGTTAGCCTGTCTTATGGGAGATTTCTTAGAGGCCAATGTTAAGCAGGTATACTTCATAACATCACACATTCTTTAAATTATGTTTTAGATTTTACAGACATAAAGTGTGATAATTTTGTTTATTTTTAGCTCACCTGACCTGAAAGGTCAAGTGAGCTTTTCTCATCACTTTGCGTCCGTCGTCCGTCGTCCTGCGTCCGTCGTCCGTCGTCCGTAAACTTTTACAAAAATCTTCTCCTCTGAAACTACTGGGCCAAATGCACCCAAACTTAAACACAATCATCATTCAAGTATCTAGTTTAAAAAGTGTGTCCGATGACCCCGCCAACCTACCAAGATGGTCGCCATTGCTAAAAATAGAACATAGGGGTAAAATGCAGTTTTTGGCTTATAACTCAAAAACCAAAGCATTAAGAGCAAATCTGACATGGGGTAAAATTGTTCATCAGGTCAAGATCTATCTGCCCTGAAATTTTCAGATGAATCGGACAACCCGTTGTTGGGTTGCTGCCCCTGAATTGGTAATTTTAAGGTAATTTTGCTGTTTTTGGTTATTATCTTGAATATTATTATAGATAGAGATAAACTGTAAAAAAACAATAAATGTCGGCAAAGTAAGATCTACAAATAAGTCAACATGACCGAAATTGTCAGTTGACCCCTTTAGGAGTTATTGCCCTTTATAGTCAATTTTTAACCATTTTTTCGTAAATCTTAGTAATCTTTTACAAAAATCTTCTCCTCTGAAACTACTGGGCCAAGTTAATTATAGATAGAGATAATTGTAAGCAGGAAAAATGTTCAGTAAATTAAGATGTACAAACACATCACCATCACCAAAACACAATTTTGTCATGAATCCATCTGCGTCCTTTGTTTAATATTCACATAGACCAAGGTGAGCGACACAGGCTCTTTAGAGCCTCTAGTTTTTTAAATGTGCTTTTTATATTTGTTATCATTAAGTTTCAATCTGATTAGAATACAGACCCTGTATATATGCTTTGCTTACAAAGGAACTGACAACATTCCATTCTACTTTCTGTTCAAGCAATTATTCCATCAGCCAATGAAATTTCAATCTTTGAATTTTTGAAGGTGTGTATTAATCGGACAAAACCAGAAAGTAGAAGGAAGCATTGTCTGATCCTTTGAAAAAAAGTGTTGACACAAGATCTGTATTTTAATAAGGTTACATTAAGTTGGTGTCTGCTAAGTAATTAGCTATTTCTTTATTTGTTGTAAAATAATTTATTCAGTCATTATTTTTTTTTTTTTATTAATTGTTATTGTTAATGATTTTTATTTTCAAGGTTTTTTTTATTATAAATGAAGAAGAAATTATATTTTAAAAGTTAATGATTTTTTAGGTTATTTCATTAAATTACTAAGTTTCTGCAGCTTAAAAAATGTGACTCACGATTCAGTGAAAAAAAATGCTTCAAGAAAATAACTCCTACATTCTCAACCAAGTGAACTTATCAAATATGTTGAAAAAAATGTCAGACATGTTTTTATTTTATTTAATATATTGGCTAAATGATTATGAGATGTTTCTAGACTGAGGATGATCATATAAATTGATGAAAATAGTAGGGAATTAAATGTAAAACAATGCACAGGTATGAGAATATAGGAATATTTTTGTAACATGTAGTCTATTTGGTAAAGCAAATAAAAACTAAATTATTTCTTTTCATAACAGAGGGGTTCGGTGAGTTCAGAGAATACATTGGTAGATGGTCTATATAAGATTTATTATACTGCATATATAGGCTGTAATATAAAATCTTTTATTTTCTATGAAGTGCTTATGTAATAGCATTAGAATGGTATTTTTGTAATTATTGTTGAAACACTGAAATGTTTAGAAATTTTCAATCTTTTTATAAAAAAGAGAAAACACAAGATTTTATATCTGCCTTACATGTTATCATAGTCAATTATGTTTTGATTCTTCATATTTCTTTCTTTCATTTCATTATCACGCCATATATTATTTTATTTATCATTCTCAGTATTTATAATCATTATACCATCCTTGTCTTCATTTCATTCTTATAATGTTTCCTGTTTTTGTAAATATAAAACTCTTTCTCTAATTCTTACCCGATTTATCCGTTTCCTGACCTGTTGATTATTTTTATTTAATCACCGTGTGGTTCCTTTAATCTCAGTTCATTATTGGTCAAAACTCGATTGAATTTCCTATTATGACGTCACGAAAAAAGGGTGACCATACTGATGACGTCACAAAGAAGGAACACATCTTTTTGCAGATCATTCGAAAAAGAAAGATTAAGAAGGGTTAAGAGTGTCTGTATATATTGTCTTTAAAAATCATGAGAGAAACAGATTCCACCACCAAATCTCGTACAATATGATATTTATCCACTCTCTACAGTTAAATTTTAAATATTTAAAAAGCTCTGCAAACCTCGTAAATGTCTCGAGTGGATAAATATCCTATCACATTTGATGCAGTGGTAGAATCTATATATTTATTTACCAGAGTCAGGGGTGTATTTTGATGTCTGAATGAATGATAAATACTCCTTTATAAAATTCTTTTAGACTATAACATTGTTATTGCTGTATGTTCAGGCAGGATTATCATTTTGTGAACAAAGCCTCTAGTCTCCAAAAGAAATTTGAAGTAGGAAAAGGAAAACTTGACTTAGTAATTCAAAACAAAACAAAAGATCAGTGGAGTTTGAATTCCCACCACCAATAGATAGATAATTCTGATATCATTGAAAAAATATGTCAGGGTCATGATTACTTCACACTATATCATCCTCAGTGCCTCTTCTCAAATATTTCATTTGACATCATAATTAATTTCTTTTTTTTTAGCTGATTAAGTGTAGGGTTATTTTAAGTTGTACATTTTATGCTTCTGTTTCTACATATGCAGTATAATAAAGTCAACAATTATTCTTTTATTATGCCTAATTAAGCTTATAAGGTATTTAATACGATAATTATTTATTAGCATATAAAGTATTAAATATGATTATTATCAATTAGTCATTCGGTAGAGTGTGTGCTTATTTTGCTTACATGCTTTTGTGGCTAAATACTTTAATTTAATGCTTAATATTTCGCATAAGCTTGTCAATTTAAACTTGGGATATCAAAATGGTGATTTACCAAATTTTAGCAAAACATATGATAATTTCATAAACATTACGGCTAAATAAGAAAGAGAGCACACACATCACCCTAAACTATTTGTTGGCAGCAATGAGATAAACACTTTGGCCCTAGATTGTACCTTTTTCTTTATGCTAACTGATAAAAGGAGGCAGACCAACATTGACCAAAATCAATAATCTTTATGATAATAACTGCAGACTGATGAATGGCTCAGCTCACAGAAGAATAATGAGCCCAATAAGGGGAAAATATGAATCCAACACACATAAATAAAAGTTTGCTTAGATTCCTTTAGTTACATGTATATATTTTAATCAAATGCATTTAAGAAAATCATAGATAGAATAGCCTCATTCAATCTTAAGTGATAAATGATCATTTCTTTTTCATTTTAAATTTTTTCCTTAAGTCTGCAACCGTACTAGATATTTGTATGGTATTGAGTGACTAGTAGAAAAATATAATTGTGTAACTATAAATGACAATTTGAGACACAAACTGAGACAACTGTGATGGTATTCACATGCATAAAATGAAATTAGATTTGTATAAGACAAAAAAGAAATAAATAGGAAGGATTCAAATGACAAGATATATCATTGTAAAAATCAAATACATATTTATGTGAGCAGCATTGTTCATCTAGACAAATACTGTTGTAAATTATTTAGTTTGTTACATTTTATATGTTTTTATCCAAAAAACCATTCGGAAATTGACCAAATATATGATATAATACAGAATGAATGTTTACATCTTCAGAAAACCATATTCTAAATACTTCTTCAACTTTGGAAAAACTACATTTCTCTTTGTTTCAAGTTGAAGGGAGCAGGGAAGATTTTAATTATTATCCTAATTTTTATTATTCTTCTTTTGATTTATTATTTATTTAAATAGTTTTTAATTTCTTTACTGTTAGTACTTATATATTTAACATTATCTAATGAGCATCTTTCTCATATTCAATCTGTATTAAATTGATGTATAATAAAATTGTCAGTTGAATTAAAGGAAAATAAATCATTAATTTTCGAAATTGGTTTTCTCTCATGTCTTTCTAGACCTCTCTCTCCTCTATACATCTCTCTGTTTATTTTTGTATTTACAGATATTGATTTTAATCACCTAAGGTACATTTGAAAAAAAATATGAAGTTAAATCCTGTCTGAATTTATATTTTCAGTATTACTTGGATTTAAATTCATCAAATTACTTTAAAATGCTTGATTCAGACAAGGCAGAAGAAAATTCAGGCAAAGGAGCGTGTGGATATGATGGCTATCTGAAAATGAATGGTGAAACCTCAGACTATACAAAAATGGAGCAAGCTCCACCGCCTCCGACTGATCAGATTAAGTTTGTTGTAGAAGATGATGAAACTGACAGAAGTCGATACCTCAACCAAAAACAATGGCGTAAGGAGAAATCTAGTGATGTTGAACTTGAACCATTGACAGGAAAAGATGATAGTGACAATGTTATATTACGTAAAGCAAATAAGCGTGAACAATCCCCACAAAATATCAATACTTCAGCAGACGTTCATAGAAACGATGACACAGATAGTGGACATTCTAGTACATGTGTACCAGGAACCTCACCCCCTGATACAGGAGAGGATGGATATTTGATACCCAAGTCAGGACCAGATGGTGGGTTTGTCAAAAAAAACGGGAACAAAAAGAACAAATCAAACAATTTCTCTACAGACTATCGCCATACTGAAGATCAACCACCACCAACATATTCCACAGTTGTAGAAGATAGTGAAACTCTTGTGTAGTAAAGGGAGATAATTTGTGTAAACAATAGGAGATAAATCAGGGTCTGTTAATTAAACATAGTTAATAAGTCAGTAATGCCATTAACCAAGTTATTGTGAATTAAGTTGTGTTAATAAATATATGACCCAAATTCATAACTTTATAAATCTAAATAGTATTAGCATCATACAGATGTAAATTGACATTAATAAAGAATTAGTTTAAATCATAAAAATCATCCAAAGACAAGTTACTGTAAATTCAGAAATTATTGCATTCATTTATTATTGTGATTTTTGAAGAAAGGACATAAGTGCGACATTTGTTATTGCGATTTCAGGAAATCTGTGTACATATATATGTATCAGAGATCAGAATGCAATTTCTTTTTATTACGATTATCACCAGTGGCATTATTCGCAATAATAAAAATTTCTGAATTTACAGTTAATTTAGAGCAAATTTGTGCAATAAGCTATTTGACATTTGTATATATATATTTCATGATACTGAATATGTTACTAAGTGCAAGGAAAAGTTACTTTAACTATATTTGGATTGAGTGTATTATTTATTGAAACATACTTTGATACTATTATTTTAGATTTGTTGCAGTAAAACATTAGATTATCTCTTAGTTTTGTATAACAGGAATCAAGTTAGTATTAATGGGTCGAAGGGTCATATACAGTGTATGTTAATTGATTGAATTCTTATAAAAATTATTAAAGATGTGCCATAAAAAATATTTGAGGACCATTTGATATGATAAAGTTAATGTGTTCATTTTTAGTGTATAAGTAGGTAAAATGTATTTTGGATTTGTGTAACCATTCAAGTTGTACAATATACATGGTGGTGACCCTTAGTACAGGAGGAAGAGAAATACAAAATGCTTCAAAAGTAGAATTGTTAGTTTAAAAAAATGTTTGTACTAATTTGACATCTCCTTTTATGTCTGTTACCATGTTTTTTTTAATTCTTTGTTAAATGTTGATACAAAATGCTCAACACTATTAGCCACTGATTTTTGTTTAAAATAATACAAATGCTGACCACCTTTGCTATAATTGTCTTTAAATCTAAAACCTAATCTATTTACTTTACATAATGTAAGTAGAAAAGTAGATTGCTGTATGGGATAAGTCATACAGACAGCAGCCCATCAGTACACATTATATGATGTGAGACAAGAAGAGAACTGAAGTGACATTATTGGATTAATTTACTATCATTTTTAATTCAAATTAACCAGATTCATTGATGAATTATTATTTTCATTTCCAAACATAAAGACTTTTGTCCAACCTTGCCATATGTTATATGTACAAGGCATTATTCATAAAAAGTGGTTGTACAAACATATTGATATATATATATATATTTATCGCTTTTTTACAAAATTTCCCTTTGATCTTGCTGACTGATAATTCCCTTTCTCAGTGGAGTCGAGTGATATGAAAATTATCGCTAGAAACTAAGGGGACACGTGGCGTTGCTAATGAAATTGACCCAACGTCGTCATAGGTAAAATAGCGATAAACAGATTATCATTGGTCATCTCGACTCGATTGCTTTTCTCACTTTCGCTGTACCGGCTCAAGCGAGAAAATCAATCTCATTGAGATGATCAACGATAATCTATGAATACGGATACATAAAAAAATAAAGAGAAAGAGCGAAAGAGAGAAACATGTAACTTGAAATGACTATAAACACTATCTTTTATACCTTGTATGTATAATAAATATTGTTTTGGGGGTTGCATTTTTATACAAGGCTAAATTGATAATAACCTGACTGTTAAATAGAGTTAAATATTATGTTGATATATAAGGCTTTAAATTTGAGTTTTCTCCACTTCTCCTACAGTGTGTTTAGTTGCTATGACTACCCTTAAGGGTCTTGCACATTCGGTTCTGTGTTCTCCATAGAAAATCCCACCATCCACATAAAATAATGAATCATTAAAGAATTTCTTGATTGAATATCTAGTCAGTTAATAAAAATCAAACAAAAACTGAAAGTATTTCTATATATCCCTAGTCACTTCATTTGATAATATTAGAATTTATTTTAGCTCCCATGCAAATCCATATTGCTTATAATGTTTTATAACTTCAGGCATCTTTTAATATGCATAAATTATAATTCTTTGTCTTTTATTAATTTTGTTTGAAAAGTGTCTGATCACCTTTAATTGTACTTTTTATAAAAACACATTCCACTTTGCTAAGGACCCAGTGCTAATGCTTGATTTTAAATGACACAGATTTAAGGACACATTTATTAAACTGGTTCTTCAAATTTGCAAAAACAAACATTTTCAGAGTTAGGTAGAGTAGCAATTGAATATAGGTTGCTGAAGCGAATGACATTTTCCACTGGTCTAAGACAATTTCAGTTGTCATAAACTATTATAGACTGTCAGATTGTCAAAAATGTTTGACTTTATTCATTGAAAGTCTATAAATCACAAATAGAAATGTACTGATCATGTATAGAGTAGATAGAGTAAAGACCATGCTCATGAATGTTTGGTTTGTGTGTGTTTTGAAATATGTTATAAACCATGTTGACCTCATGCTATTTACCAAATATTATATTCATGTGTGACAGTGGTCACTTAATTCATATATTGTTCTATTTAATTTTGGGGGGTTAATGGTTAGTTTCATTGATAATTCTGTATATCCATTTGCTTATTATTCTTGCTGGGTAACTTCTTGTATTGGTTCACATGACTTGATAACCCGGGCAAGCTAATTTTACATATTATTAATAATAATAATCCTACTCGATCGACATGAGGGAATAGGACATGACTCTATAGGGAAGTTTGATTGATATTTAACATTTTGTTTAAGAGTACTGATACCAGTCTCATTTTTATTATGTAAATGAAGGGACCATATAGAACTCTATGTTTATACCTTTGTTTTATCTGACATCAGGATATTTACAAATACAAGGAAGTCATTGAACATATGTATTAAGTGTATGTAAAAATTTTAGCAATTTTGTTTTTATAAAAGAATTGTTTTACATGACAAAAATGATGACAATGTTAAGTTTTAATTCAAATTAACCTGATTCCTCCAAACCTAAAGATTTGTAGTTACGGCCAATCTTGCCATATTTTATATTTATATTATATTTTCATGGCATTATTCATAAAAAGTGGTTTTACAAACATTCAATTTTTCGGTTAAGTTTTTTTTTACAAAAGATGTATGATTACTGAGTATGTTAATTGATGGTGAACTGTTTTAGTCCAACTGGTTTTATGTTAGATGAGTTTACACTGACCTGCATTACACATTTATAGTATGTGCCTTTTGTTACTTGTATATCAATATCAGATTCATATTTATGTTTCATTTTTGTATTTATGATATGTTGATTTTATACATGAAATACATGATACTTTTTCATTTGTAACATTACTGTTTTTATAAACGATTTAATGCATTTTAAGTATTTGATATGTATTTTAAGTAATGTCAGTAGACCTGTACATTGTAGCATTAATCACTGCCAAACATGCTAACCAATATATACAACATTTATATTAACATATCCTACATAATGGCATAATTATTTATTGTATATACAGTAGGACATGACCTTTGTATTATAATATTGTTTCTATAGACACATATGACAAACTGTATCAAAGCGCAAAATCAATAATTTTCAAAATACATAATTTTGATTGGTTAATTACATGATTGATTCCCCTCCCCCTTTTGTTTTTGTTAATAATATTCATAACAAGTTATATATCTGTTAAGATTAGATGTGAAAATGAAATAAAGTTTTAAAGCCATCACAGAAAAAAATCCAACACAATTTAAAATCATAACATAGAGAATATGTAAACAGCAATGTAAATCTTTTTAAAACAAGCTTTAAGTTTTCATCACACTTTGATAAAAAAAAGAATATGCAATTTAACAATGAACCTGAGAGTTTTTTTAAATAATTTCCCTAACCTTTAACTTGCTTATTTTAATACAAGAGAAACAACAATGTGTTAATTTAATAAAAATTCAGGATTTCATGAAATTCATGAAATTAAATGACCAGAAGCATGAACAGGAGAAGATATCTATTTTTAATGAGTACTTTAAAAGATGTCAGTAAAAACTTAGACTCAAATCTAGAACCATTTCAAAGGTAATGATATTTTTATATAATCTTGAAAGTTTTATGTTAAGTTTATGTGAATAAAAGGAGATGTTGGGCAGTGTTTCAATGACAAAATTAACCAATGACTATGATCATATATATTTTTTTTCTTGAAGTTGCGTCCAATTTGTTTTATTACATTGCATATTTGTGAATCTAGGTTCCTTCCAAATACCAACTGACCAAAATATTTTGAAAACTGATTAGCTGGTTAATATTTTTAGCTCATTGCTTATGTGAATGTTTGTTAGTATGAAGCTAGTGCAGTGTAATAAAAACATTCTTACCCTCCAATTCTAGTGATTGGCTGTCTGATTGAACAGATTGTCAAGGAACACTAGCTTGAAGAGGTGAAATCATACTGCAACTTGGTTTAATGAAAGGACCAAGCCATTCTTATATGGACAGAAAGATAAAAACACATTCTATTCCCTGCTTTATATTTATTGTCAAGAAAAACATTGCTGCCTTGTTATTTTAAGTTTTATTAATTGTTTATTTTAAATGACATATTTCGTGTGTTAATGGCATCCTTTGTTTAATTTTTATTACGAGAAAGATCCAATTATTTCATTTTACATGTGGACAGATTTTTATTTTTAAATTAGCTTTAAAATTTAGTGCTTATTTAAGTTTAGTTTTTCCAGTTTTCAGATATAGTGGCATCATTAAGAAGGGAGGTTTTTGATGATTCAATGGGCATCTTGATAGACGAATAGAATTGATAGAATTGTTTGACAATTTGTATCACAAGTAATTATCACTGCATATTTTTGTAAGCTTGCATTAAATCTGTGCGTGTTTGGTTGAATTTTGTCCAGCTGTTTGCAAGGAGTTGACTTTGGGCAAGCCATTTTCAAGAAGTTGTGGATTGACAAAAAGTGTGACACAGATGAGGACATAAATTATCTCTTTATATTTGTCAATATCAAAAACTGTACACTTGCAACACAATAATACAATCAAATTTGTTTTCTGTGTTCAATTCCATCTGTGAATGACAGATTGTTTGATTGTCACTCAAATTGTAGCATTACCAGTACACATATTTTAAAAAATTTGTTATTGTACAAATATTCAAAACTGAACAATTATATGACAGCAGCTTATCAGATATAATTTTGAAGACTCTTTGTATTGTAAATACCATAGTTGAGTTATTGTAATAAGGACATATAGTTATATGTGTCTGATTGTATTTATACAGTTAAGTATGATGTTAATGATATGATTTATATTAATTATTTATATAGAAAAAATTAATAAAACATTGATACAGAAATAGAACGTGATATTTTTCTTATTATTGGATTCATTCTTTTTTTGTGGATACCAATTTTCGTAGATTTTATTAGTAAATACGTAAGTAAGTAAATTTTTCTTAGAGTCAGACAAAATATGTACAATTTAACATAGTACCATAAGCTTTGTAGACTCTTAA